GGTTGTGCCCAAGCGGGAGTTGTGGTTGGCTGCCACTAGAAGTGCCCGACGCCAATGCCTAGGTAGTGGCTTTTGAAGGTGGGTAAACACATAGCGGTAGACCCTTTCTCCGCACGTCTCTTCAAATACATCAATGTCGGATTCAATCGACCATGCGATTGCACGCACGCAGGCCAGGCGACGGCGTCGCATAGACCATGCGGATCTAGCGAGGGAGCGGGAGAAGACGTTCTATCGGTAGGCTTATCTCCTTTGGCATGCGCCACCTGGAGAGCTACACTCACCAATGTCACCATCTAGGTACTACCCTCGTCCAGGCTCTCACCTTCCCCAGACAGATGGCCCTGCAAGCCGTCACTCATCCCCGGGACCGGCTCCCAAGTCGCAGACGCCCCCGACTACCCCGCCGCCTTCTCTAGACTACGCCCCGCGAGCGTCGGACGACAAGGCCCTGACGGCGTTTGCGCAGTTGGGAGCGCTGCGTCTGAATGCGCGGAGATGTCTCATATCCTTCTTCGACAGGACCGACTGCTTCCTCCTCGCCGAAGCCACGCGCACTTTGTCGTTGCAGACTGGCGAGCCCGAATTTGAAGACGACCGTTTGTGCTTCGGCACCACCATCTTCCCCAAAGAACAGAGCCTCTGTAACTACACCGTCAACCTCGCTCCCAAATACAGCACGCTCCCTCTCGACGATCCGAGCGACCTTCCTTCCCTCGTCGTCAACGATCTCAGCAAAGACAAACGCTTCTGCAACTTTCCCTTTGTCCAGGGCCCACCATACTCGCGTTTCTATGCCGGAGTACCAATCCGCAGCCCAAGCGGCCACAGCATCGGCACATACTGCGTTCTGGACGAGAACCCGCGGGACGGCTTGTCGCCGCATCAGCTCGCTTTCTTGAAGAGCATGGCAGGCACAGTGATGCGGCACTTGGAAAGGACCAGGGCAGCGGAAGATCATCGCCGGGCCAAGATTATGGTCAAGAGTCTGGGATCTTTTGCTGAAGGGAAGAGCGGCTTGGAGAACTGGACCGTCGATCCCTGGAATCAGGAGACTGGGCAGTCGTCAGGCCTACCAGATGCGATCATACCCCAGCGCCAGCGTCCCTCTGCCAATTCCGACGCTTCGCAAGATCCAGTCGTGCTCAATGGAAACATAGATCCGGCTATGAGAATTCCGAAAGACACTCCGCCTGCAACCGGCGCGCCCCCGAGCCTAGTCAACGGAGAGACAGTCGATAGTATGCGTCCGGAGATGACTACTACGACGTCGTCCACTTCCACGAAAGGCTTCACCAAGACTGATCAAAAGGATAGAGTGGCCCCAGAATTGAGAGCTCACTTCACACGGGCAGCGAACATGATCGTCGACTCAACCGAGGCAGAAGGCGTGGCATTCTTTGACGCAAAAATCAGTACCTTTGGAGGTCTTGTCGACGATGACTTTGATCCCGATCAGCTACCTGAGCCGGACAAACCTTGCGATATATTAGGAGCGGCGCTTTGCAGAACCGATCGCGACACGAAGCCGCTACCCAACACCGGAGAATGCATCTCAGAAAGCGTTCTGAGACACCTCCTGCGACTTTATCCACATGGCCAGATTTTCCATCTCGACGACGATCCTGCAACTCCTTCGGTCGCCTCGCCATCAACAGCTGGCGTGGACGAAGTCGAGTCAGCTGATGGCTTTCCGTTCAGCACACAGCGCAAATCGGAATCTACCAGAAGCTTGGACGACGAAGCTTACTTGAGGAGGGTTTTCCCGACTGCTCGGAGTTTGATACTCTATCCACTCTGGGATCCGCATCGCGAGCGCTGGTTTGCCACGGCTGTCATCTGGAGCTCGGAACCGAAGAGAATCTTCACGACCGAACAGGAACTCAGCTACCTGGCAGCGTTCAGCAATTTTGTCATGGCTGAGGTCGCTCGTCTAGACACGAAGCTAGCTGATGCTGCAAAGGCCGATTTCATCTCGTCGATTAGCCATGAGCTGCGGTCCCCATTGGTATGTATACAAGAACGAAGTATTCGAAGCGCATGCACTGACCGTATCTAGCACGGCATTCTCGGGATGACAGATCTGTTGAAGGATTCTCCTCTAGATGGCCAGCAGGTATCACATGTCGCAACAATCGAGACATGCGGAAAGACTCTACTGGAAACTATCAACCACGTAAGTCGGTGCAGACTGCATCAGATATTGCCACTAACTTGATAGGTTCTTGACTTTGCCAAAATCAACAATCTGACCCGGGGAGTTTCGAAGCGCCAGAAGAAGCGGACACAGAGCGCGAAGCACATGATCAGTCCGGGTCAAGCTCATACCAATGATATCATGACACTAATCAACGACGTCGATATGAGCATACTGACAGAAGATGTGGTCGAGAGTGTTTTCGCCGGCTACACCTACGCGAAGACGTCTGCTCAAACATACGAGTTAACCGCCTCTAAAGTGAACAAACCGCCGATATCGATCATTCTTGACATCAACCAGAGCGATAACTATGTCTTCCGCACACAGCCAGGTGCCTGGCGGCGAGTCATCATGAACCTGTTCGGAAATAGTTTGAAGTATACACCTGGCGGGTATATCAAGGTGAAGCTTGAGGTTAAGCGGAAGCCTGAGGACGAAGATGAGACCTGCGAGTTCCGATTCTCGGTGACTGACTCTGGTATTGGAATGTCAGAGGACTATATCAACAACAGGCTCTTCCACTCCTTTGCACAGGAGAATCCTTTGAGCCAGGGTACAGGTCTAGGTCTGTCGATCGTCAAACAGATTGTGGAATCTCTGGGAGGCGAGGTAGAAGTGCGTAGTGAGAAAGACCGCGGCACCAAGTTTACAGTCACATGTCCATTGAAAGAGTCACGAATGTCTCCCAACTTCTGTGCAACCGGTCCAGAAGGAGAGAAAGATCTGCAGCTACAACAGGTCACTAAGCGCACCAAGGGTCTGAAAGTGAGGTTTGACGGTTTCAACGAGGAAGAGGAGTACCATGTTAGAGACTTGAAGAACAAGACAGCGTCGAAGCTGTCGTTGAAGGCGCTCGACAGCCTTTGTGCTGAGTGGTTCGGCATCGAAAGATGCGAGGAGGGCGACAATGCGGCCGAACCAGACCTGATCATCGCTACCGAAACCTGCGCCAAAGCGTTACGGACTACGTACAGCCAGTCTCCCGGTCGAGTATCTCCTACCCCCGTTATAGTCGTGTGCCAGGGCGCCGCAGCAGCACAATCTACAACAGCCATCACGGTGCCGGGGATAATATTCGAATGTATCGGCCAACCTGTCGGACCCCACAAGATGTCGAAGGCTTTAGCCTCATGTCTCGATCGACACGCGAGACGCGCCGAGACACAGAAAATGGACATCAAGTCGATGATCCCACGGATAACAGAGCTCAGTCTGAAAGACGAAGCAACTCCCCATCGCACCGATCACCTGCACGTCGTGGAGCCATCCCGACCACAGCTCACCAGCATTAGTAGTGCCCCCGAGATACGCTCAATCAACAGCAGCCCACCCAGAACATCCAAATACCTAAAACCGTCGCGCGCACTGCGATGTCTCTGCGTAGACGACAACCCCATCAACCTCCGCCTCCTGCGAACCTTCGTCGACAAGCTCGGCCACCAACACGTCCTCGCCGCCGACGGCCTCGAAGCACTAGAAGCCTACAAAGCCGCCAGCGACGAAGAATCTCGCATCGACGTCGTCCTCATGGACATCAACATGCCCATCATGGACGGCCTCGAAGCCACCCGCCAAATCCGCGCCCACGAAATCCGATCCAACCTCCCCAAAGTTACCATAATCGCCCTGACCGGCGTCGCCGACACCGACATCCAACAAGAAGCTAACTCAAGCGGCATCAACCTCTTCCTCATCAAGCCCGTCCGCCTCGCTGATCTCGAAGTCATCCTCAAAGGCGTGGTTACCGGCCAGGACAAAGCGAACCTAGAGCTTGAAGCAGAGAAAGAGCGGATTAAACAGGCGGAAGCAGATGCTATTCTCAAAGTCGAGAGCGTGGATGAGAAGACACGAAGCATCAATGTGGGTGTTGCGGTCGTCAAGGGCGAGGACGATATACAGAAAGCGGTTAAAGTGTGCGAGCACAAGAAGAGTGCGTCGGTGATATGAAGCACACCCACAAGAAATATGTTGCAGGCTTCTTTGACGCATATGCTAAACAAATCGCGGTAGGGCGTTCATACGCATCATCAGATGATCCCTATTCTCCGCGTAAGACTTCCGCGCGTATTTCTTCGTTGATAACGAAGTTGGGCATGGACCGGGAGGAGTGAACAGTCACGGAAGGGAAAAGCATTTACCTACGTATTTTGGCGTATACTGCATTTGCATTTCAGCTTCTCACCAAGGAAGAGAAAAGCGTTGTCAAGAGCAAGCTTGACGAATGACTAAATGCATGGAGGGCATGTTTAGGCGATTATACCCTTTTCTATCTTGCGTTTTTTGTTTTTGCGAGTTCTTTGTCTCTTTTTCCTTTCCTTTGTAGTCATGGTGTTTAGAGAACTGGCGGATGAGTTTGTGGCGATGGTTGGCGTCTTTTGTTAGGATTTGGTCATTCGGCTGGTGTGGTAGCATAGCGTGGCGTTCTCGCTTTCCTTGGGTTGATTAGACACTGGTGGGTCGATTGATGGATGGATGTATCATGATTAGGGTATTGCGGGTATGGAGAAATAAAGATCAAAAAGTTTAAAATACTGTGTTCTCTTGCTTGATATGCAGACGTACACACATCAAATCTTGGTATAGAAGGACCGAGGCTGCTAGAGTGTGACAAGTTACAAGATAATGATTCAAAGAGAGTGTGAGTAACTTGTACATAGCTAATATGGTCATCGAACCCTTATCATGATGATAATAATAACAACACCTGATCCAGGCCTATCCTATCCAAATCCAAGCAAGATCAATCTCCGATCCAAAAGCGACTTCAGAAACTCGTAGGAACTCGAGCTGATCAGTTAGTTTAAGCACCGAGCAAGTCATTGAGCATGGAGTTGTCCTCCTCCCTCAACATGACCATGAACTTACCGATAGCCGGGCCCATGATGACGAAGGCCTCAGCAGCCAGAACGTGGGCAATAACAATGAAGATACCAACGATGATGAAGAAGTTCTTGAAGAACAACTTGATGAGACGGCGGCGAGCCTCCCAGTTGAAAGACCTCCATGCATCCAAGAAGCCAACGACACCGGTTCCGCCCATCATCTTGCTAACGACCTTGCCGCCAAAGGTGCGGTCGAAGGGGACGATGGTGTCCTGGTCCTCAGGGAGAATGGAAGCTTCAATGCGGATCAGGGTGACCATGGCGGGGAGGCAGAGGAAAAGGGTGCAGACGATGACGAAGACGAAGAGGGTAAAGATGCGGACGGCAAGACCAGTCCACGCAGCGCAGGAGGCGATCTTCTCCTGCTCGAGCTTGTGAAGACCCATGAGCATGGCTACGCCGAAAGAGAGGTAGAGGCTGATGTATGGCATAACGGAAGCGATGGTGGCGGGGACAGCAAGAGTCTTCCAGTGGCTCTTGGAGGGCATGCGCTGCCAGAGGCTCTGCTCGGTCGGCATGCCGACTACCTTGTGTGTCCAGACTGCGTGTACGTTGGCGAGAACGGCACCAGTGATACCAGCGACGAGGATGGGCTGGCCGGGAACCATGGGGAGAGCGCCTGTGAAGAAGGTGCTTACGATTCCGGCGAGGAACGAGTACAGAACGTGGACGCGGAAACCGCGGAAGCGTGCGAAGCGACCGGCGTTGGCAACGAGGTGACGGAGAGTAGCGCGAATGGACGAGGTGATGGGCTTCTGGTTCACGAGGGTGATGGTAGGGCCAGTCTCGAGGAGCGTCTCCTTCTCATCTTCCTTGTCAGAGGGCTCGTAGGTCGTTGGCGAGACGGTGATGGCGGCCATGGGGGACTCGACCATGCAGAGGGTGGTGACGACATCGTTAAGCATGTAGGAGATCTGTTGATATCCTATTAGTACATGTACCAGAGATGCCAAAGAGGCATGGAGTACTTACTAGGCTGACAGCCACACTCGCGATGAAGATGCTAATGTAGATGACAACGACGCCCCAAATGGGGACATCCTCGGGCTTCAGATGGGCAGATTCCCCATTTCGCACAGGAGCTCCATTGTGCAAGGCACGCTTAACAAACGTCGCCGTGTGAGGGTGCGACACAGCGCGACGAGCGAGTTCGACGAGGACCGTCATCTTGTCTGAGATGCGTAATCCGTAAACTCTCAAATCGCTGTAAGAAGTCGTATATCCTGCAAATTCGCAGTAGTGTGAAAGTTGAGAAAGTGAGAACAGAGGAAACACGAAAAGCTGACGGAAGTAAAAGGGTTGACAGGTGTATTGAAGTTGGCGCTGTCACAGCGCGGCACGGCGTGAGAGACAAGGAGGCGAAGTTCAGGCCAAGGCTATGCTGGCCCCCATTGACGCAACACGACGGCTGCCTGTTGTGCACGGACCACATGCCGGTTAGCCGCCGATCTATAATTGGTCTCGTCCCAAGTTGATGCGGAGAATCGAATGTGCTGGAGTGGATTCACTGCATCGATGTTCCGATATATGTGGTAACTCTACGAGAAAGAGATGGCCGTTCTTTCATCGCGGAGGGCACATGTGTTCTACTGACCGAGTTTCAATCCTGCATGTTGGCCACCGTATATGAGACGTGTTCAGCGCCGCACCTGAGGCACAGTGATGGGCGAGCACGTAACCCAATACCTTCAGGCGACCTGTTGACAATTGGGGCCGATCTTGGGCGCCTCGTTCCACCCACCAATATCAATGTTTCAAAACACGCGTTCAAGTGAACAGTTGTAAGAAGACAATATTTCATTATACCTCTCATCCCCCAGATGACGAGAAAGACAACTCCCATACCGTGATTATGTACCGGAACCCCACCCATGACAGACAGACAGGACTGTTTCCAAACGCTGAGTGTAGAGAGAATACATGAATGCGCTAGACTAGAGATCAAGTAAAGGCTTTTAAAGAAAAGGGATACACAGCGCCGACTCCGATTGCAATTTCAGGCTCGAGGACTACACACAGAAACCGAGCGTAAGTCGTTATACGTGAGCACCGTGAGAAGGGTAAGTGTCAGAGATGGATTGTGGCGTGTTTGAGGGTGGGACCATGGAGGAGCCTGGCTATTCCAGATGAACTGGTTGGCGGAACAGCTTATAGAGCAGGCTGCGCGACGGGCTTCTCATCCTCGAGCTCCTCGTCAGAGGACTCTTCAGTAGCGGGTGCGTGGGTTGGGGCAGAAGGGAAAGCCTCCTTCTTGACCTCTGGGGAAGTGGAACGCCCGCGGTACTGGTTGACGGTCTCCTGGGCCTTGGCCGTGGCCTGCTGGGTGTATCCTTGAACAGTCTTCATGGCGTTTCCAGCGTGCTGGTTGGCAAGCCCCTTGACCTGCTGGGCCTGCTGGTTGGCGACGTTGTAGCCCTTCTCCAACTGAGCATCAATGACCTCCTTGTTCTGGATGTAGATGAGGGGACCGAGGAAGGTAATGAATGTCGAGATCAGAGCCAAGCCCCAGAGAGGAACGAACTTGATGAGGAAGTAGGAGATGAAGGAAGCGAAGAACATCTAAGGGAGCGAGAAATTAGCTATCTTGTTCGGTGTGTGAAGAGGGGTTATACGTACAGCAACAGTGACGTAGACGTTCTCGGCGAACATGATACGCTGAGACTCAATAACGAAGAAGTTGATGAGCTGCTCGAAGTCGTCGGTCATGCGCTCAAGCGAAGCCTTAGGAATGGTGTAGTACTGGCGAGGTCTGAACTGCGAAGTAAGACCACGTCCGAGAGCCATTTTTCCGACAACCTCAGCGGCTGCGGTAAGTCCGAGCACCATGTACGACATCTTGAACATGTAGCGGATCAGGTTGAGGTATCGTGCGGCGAAGATGAAGAGGACGGTCGCACCGAACGCTATTCCGGTAGCGCGGGGGTTCTTCCAGCTCAACAAGCGGTAGAACATGCTGTGGTAGTCTGGTGCATGTTAGCTACGTGGTCGCTTCGGGGGTTGGGTATAGCTTACGAGTGAGGTTCTGGCCAGTCGCTGCCTTGTGCTCGGGAATCGTCTTGGAGTTGGCGAGATCAGCAAACTCGTTGCGCGTCTTTGCGCCCTCGGCCTTGACATTCTGTGCAACGGGACCTGTAGAGTTTAGCATTGGTCGTGTGCGCACAAGGCTGACGTGTGTGCTGCAAAACCACCGTTAGCTATTGTCCAAAGCGTGTAGAGACGATCGTGTGCACATACCCTACCGTTCATAACTGTCTGCTTGGCGTTCTGGACGCTGGGGTGGTTGTTTGCGGCGTTCATGGCGTTTGAAGCTGCTTTGTGGGTGTCAGTTCAGGAAATCAGGTGTTGTGCGGGCGGCCGATAAGACTGCCATGTATCACGTTAGCTTGCGTCTCGGTAAGGGTCAAAGGCGTTTTGTCCCACTCACCTTACTCTCTAGGATTCCGTTCTTTGCCTTGATTGCGCTGTTTTGCAGGTCCTTGTTGGCGTTGCCGTTGGTCTGCGGGGCAGGAGAGCCGTCCATTTCCGAGAGGAAGTCTGGGGTGCCGTTGGGGGTTTGCTGGAGGTCGAAATCGGTATCCGTGTTGGGGAGCTCAACGCGGGGAGCACCTGACATTGCTCGGAGGTACAGTGGAGAAGAGGGGAGTCACAAGTGGATTGGGAGGCAGAAGTATGCGAGTGTAATAAGGAGCTGGGGTGTGTGAGAGTGCGGGAGGTAGAGGTGCTGCGGTGGTTTTGTTCGGGCGCTGTCGTGTGCGCATTGTTGGGTATTCACCAAAAGCGGACGTCATGGCCCCACCCTGATCTAGCCATGATTTGTTTTCCACTGCCACTCACGACGCGCTCTGCACCTACAGGTAACAGGTTTCACAGCAAACGATGTCATGGGGATACATATGCATCATTCAAGCAATGCCTGAAACCGCATTGCTGCGTGTCGACTTGCTGTGTCCGCGGACGATTCTTCATGGGGCAGGCCCAAGCTCGACCGGTTTCACATGTGAAAGATGGCCAGGTGGTCTTGATTCCCCTCATGACGCAACCCTGATCTGGCATTTCAAGACAGTCTTGCACGTTCACGATACGTCTCTCCAATCGTACATTTACCAGATACTCCTGTTTGTCTTGTGCATGTTGTTGATCTTAATGGATCCACATTTGTCTATGCCAGGTCCCGGACAAACTCCCCTGTGTCGATCTTCCTTTTATCCAATGTCCGACTTTCTTTACCATGGAACAAGATGGAGTTTGCTCTTGCTGCATCACCCAACATCGTAAACCGGGCGCACTCTTTTCACGATTTTCTCCTCCGGTAGTGCGCAATGCACGTCAACGTCATAGGGAAACTTGTATCCCCACTTTACTCACGCTGTTAGTGCGGGTGGACGAGCTAATATCGCGCTGAACGATGCTGTGGGCTCTGCTCTTCGTCTGTGCAACGTCTCCCTCCTTAAGCCAGTAAAGGGGTTGAAATCTGAATTGGAGTCCAGCTCATGGACACCGATGAGACCCCTAGTGGTTCGTGTCGTTTTATTGCTGCTGGGCAATGGGCCGAACTGAGTTGATTAATCGGGCATCTGAACATGTGGAACCAGGAGGACCGATCACGCGAGCCTAAGCCTTGCGGCCATGTCCACGATAGAAGCTACGGATAAGGACTTTGGCGGTACGCACATGAAAATCATGGCTATGCATGAGCCTCGGAAAGTAACAATAGCGATTGCGGACCTGACAATCTCGGGGTGGTATATCTCTTCGGAAGTAGCGCGTGTGACAATCTGGTCGCAGCGCTTTGATGGGAACTAACATGTTGTTTGAACTTTGTAGTAGCAGGGCGAGGCTCGTAGTGTTCGAGTCTGTCTTGTTATATGTATGCATTGTACATAGTAAAGGGACTGCACACTATTCCTGGGTGCAAGGACGATCGACGGATGTGTACTGATCATTAGGGCGGGTGAAGGATTGTGGACGGGATGTCGTTATCGGTCATTTCGCTGGGTTCGCGGGGCAGCAGCGACACTGTTGGTAATATGGCCGTTCGCGGAGGTTTCAACGTCAGCATTCAGCAAGGACCATGTCCTCGAAAATTGCGGTCTTGTCTGGGCATCATCATGATATAGCTCAGCCTTTGTAGAATGTATGAATCGCTATTGTTATCGTAACAGTGAGTTCCTTCGCAAGGCAGGTGCGAAACGGGATGGCGGGGGTCAGGGTCTCACGAGGCAGGCGCAGACGCAGACGCACAGGGCACTATACCACGCGACAGTCGGCAGGTGGGGGTCTGCGAAATGGCGCATCTCCAAGACCAACACTATAGGCGGGCGAAGAGTCACGATAATTGTGCGGTAATGCGCACACTTGTGCAGCGACTAGTGAGGTTGTTGGACGCCATGCCCACCGGCCTCAACCCCGGGATTCGGGTCTGTTTCCACGCCTAATCCAGCGACAATCAGTGTCATCGATCAGTTGGTGGCCATCTCCGTTGGCTTGCCGGAGCTGATTATCCTGAGGCTTGGGTGTGAGGTGCCAATGCCCCAGGAGCCTCCGAGCGGTCAGCAACCGCTGCATTCAGGTCTGAGGGGCGTTTGACGTCCCGCCTCTGCGCCGACAGGCCCCAATCGCTTTGTTTGGAGACAGATAGAGCTACAAGCGCCATAGCGGAAGCGTAGCACCATTGGAATTATGCAGGTGGCCTCAGCAGGGATGCATCCGACAGCCAGCAACTGAGCAACAGGTCCTCCCGTCGCGATGCTCGGCTCTGAACTCGAGCCGTGATTGCCAGTGTCGAGCCCATTGCCCTTTGTTGTGACCAGGACGTGTCACGGCAGTGTCAGCTAACGCCTATCAGCGAGGACCAGGAGTTGGGACCAGGAATGCTGGGGTTGGCAGGCCATGGCACCAGGCAGCCCGCGCGCCTTTGGCGATCGAGGCGGGCTCCAGCGAATATGTGGCGTACCTCCGAAGTCCTGGCCAAGGTCCAGTCTGCCGTTGCGATAAGACCCACTCACACGCGCAGCAGCTTCCGTTTATCACGCCTCTCGCAGCCGGTGACTTGTCTCTCTCTTCAACTTCACTTTCACCGCGCCCTCGCACCGTTGGCAAACGCGCGTTGAGGCTACAAGCTTAGCTTGACAGCATACCCACTCTGCCATCCCAGATCCTCGGTACGCCAGCAACGTCAGCCAGAAAGAGCGACATGGTCAAAGCGCACACATCGCCATCCCCAACTCGTCACCGCTATCGCTGCCACGCAAATTCGGCACTGAGCACGCGACTACCGAACAGCTCGCCCTCTGCGGAGGTGAGAGTCTGCGAGGACTGCTCAACAGCAGCATGATAATATCTCGCGACCTGTACAATGCCTCTCCCCCACTGCGCCGAACCCGCATGGCCAACAACCCGACTCTCTTATATTCGTGGTGGTGCACCGTTTTCTCCGCTGTCATCATAGGCGTCCGACTGACTGGCCGCTACATCCGCAATGAACGGCTCTTCCGCGAGGACAAGATCATGGCGCTCAGCATCATCCCACTGTTTGCGCGTATGGGTTTTGTGCACGTGGTCCTCATCTGGGGCACCAACAATGTCAATGTTTCGACTTTGACGGACCCGCTCATCATCCGCCATCGCGAGATCGGCTCCCAGATGGTCCTCGCCTCGAGAATTTTCTATGCGTTGTTGTACGTGGTGTCATCAACTTTGTTAGAGCGCGACTAACCCATGCCAGCATCTGGATGGCCAAGTTCACCGTTTCCGAGTTCTTGAAGCGTTTGACAGAACGTTTCTGGAAGAAAGGGTACGACTGGGGACTGCGTGGCATACGCATCTTTCTTGTCGTTACTTTTTTCATGGTCCTCATTGCCACACTGGCAGAGTGCCACCCCACTTCCCACTACTGGCAAGTCATACCGGATCCAGGACCGCAATGCCGACAGGGCTACGCGCAGCTGCTTACCATGGGCATCACCGACATCGTCACCGATATATTTCTCATCGCCTTTCCGATCCCGATCATCGTGCATTCGAGCATGCCATTAAAACGGAAGATTTCCCTCATTGTGCTGTTCTCCTTGTCAGTCGTTTTGATCGTTATTACTGGGGCTCGCATGCCTCTGGTCATCCAACGACAAGGTCTGCAACAGTTTCGCACTGTCTTCGCTTCTTCGGAAATCTTGGCTGCAACCATCGTTTCGAACGCCATCATCCTGGGATCGTTCCTTCGCGACCGAGGTGTTAAGAAAGCCAAGTTCAAAGCACCATCAACTACCGACAGCATGGAACGCAGAGGCTCAGCACGACGCTTCACGGACCAAACATGCAGTAGCGACGAAGACCTCGCACGGTCGCTAGGTTATCGGACAAAACCCGAACTACTCGAGAAGCAGACAAGCGTACCTAGACCAGCTCCGGTGGCGGATCTTGACCTCTTGTCGTCTTCTAGACAACCTGGTCCTTTTGTCAACAACAACTGGAAATTCCCCGACGAAGAGACTGGCATGATGCAGAGTAGTGATCGGTCCAGCGTGACAGTCGAGGATATACGGGATCCGATGCCTAGTCCTCGTGCAAGGCGAGTGTCGTGGTTCGATGTTGGAGGCCTTCTTGAGAACCAAACTGTAGCTCCCTCACCCACCGATTCAGTCATCGCGCACGACTTCGCAACCCAGCCACGGCGAGGGTCTAGAGCCTCGAACACGATCATACCAAATGCGCGCGCATTTTTGCCTCAAGTACGGCGCAACTCTCGACTTTCGCAACAGTCTGAGGACTATGAGATGTCGTCTGTCCGGCCCACCCACCAGTTGCAGGACCTCGGCGGCTTGCTCTCCGAAGATCGCGAGCAAGAAGAAGCTCTGTCAACCCCCTCACCACACTCGGGCTCCTCGGCCGGTCCTCGCAACGAGCGATATGCGCCTATACAACGCACGTCAACTCGCTCAACACAAGCAAGCTACGATGCTCTGTCTCTACGAGATCCTGGAGGCTTGCTTTCTTCCGCACCCCCTCCTACGTCTCATCGACGCAACCCTACCCAACATAGCCGCAATGTGCCGTCCTTACAGGATGCTGGCGGCCTTCTTGGTTGACGACTCCCTTACTACTTTACATACCCCCTGCGTGATACCCCGGCCTCCATGGCCTCTTTGCATATGCATAGCCTGCCTAATGCTTCCCAATTTTTTTCCTTTTCCTTTTGTATAGTAAACGAATCGCCTACACGTGGCAGTGGCGGTGGATTATGACTGATGGGTTACGACATTTCCGGATGTGATACCCATGGGTCATCAGAGATCTAAGACGTATGTCGGATATTACGATCTAGAGTCAGGCGGCAAGACTTGTGTATAATAGCAATATACCCAATGCGTGGCGTTGTTGAGGCGTACGTCACGGCAGTAAATTGCCGACCTATAAATGAAGTCAATATGCACTCTCGCCTCCTTGATCCTACATCCGGGTGGCACACGTGTGAAGGCACAGGGTTTACGCTAAAAGGAAGTCGAAAAAGCGATTACCGAGCGCATGGTTCAGCATTCAACGCTCCAGCCCTGTGGAACGAATAGCGTTCGGGTATTATTCACGATGTCTTGGCTGTCAACGGCGCGGGAAGGAGCTGCAGGGCGACGGTCAAAGCTCGCACTATTACCAACAGCAACCACCGTGCCACTTTAGCACCCTTTGCGGTTGCCATCCAACACCATCGCGGTGTGCCGTCAGATATGAGCAATGACGCGCCGACGCTTGGAGAGATCACCCAACTAACCCGTCAAGAACTTACTACGAGGCAGAAGACCGACCCTATTCGCGAATGCGGACGCGCCGCGCTGTCGCTCCTTCCCAACGATTTCGAGCTCGGCCTCAAGCTTGCGTATCAGAAACTACACGATGTGCCGTATAGGGAGGTGAAGACGTGTTGGCGCAGGCTGTATACGGATACGAGCTTGTGGAAGGTGTTGAAGCTAGTAGGCGACAGGCATGATGAGCAGTTGCGCGCCGACCTGTCCAATAGCGGGAACGACGAAGTGGAAGTCGATACAAAGAGCGACTGGGTCGATGAAGTGGTGCGGATACTGGATATGACGCTCATACTGACAGGCGCACCTGAGAGGGAGGAGCTCGTAGAGCTTTGGTTTGCAGCGCTGAAGGCTGTTCTAACTCCTCCAGGATCTCATCTTGATTTCGACGCTCCAGAACGGCCGCGTAAGAGAAGAAGACTATCACATGCGGGCCAAACTTCGTGCGTACCAGCAAGCTTCGCAACAGTGCTTCCCGATCCTCCACCCACCCTTCGACACGCGATCCCACGAACGAAAGAGCTCAGTCTGGAGGCTTTCCAGGAGAGACTCGGCGATGCAAATACACATACCCCACTCATCATCGAGGGTGCGATACAACATTGGCCCGCTCTTGATGAGCGGCCGTGGAACGATCCAGCATATCTGCTTGAGCAGACGCTTGGTGGTAGACGGCTCATACCGGTAGAAGTTGGGAAGAGCTATACCGATGAAGGTTGGGGCCAGCGCATAACCACCTTCCGTGACTTCATGGAGACGTATATGCTCGAAGTTCATAGAGGGGCTGTCCCAACTGCAGCGCACACAGACACGACGCTGAGTCCTGAACTCGACAAGGCAGACAGCAGCACGAAACCCACACCTACCGGCTATCTAGCCCAACACGACCTCTTCGCCCAGATCCCCTCCCTACGCGCCGACATCAGCATACCCGATTACTGCTACTGCGAGCCCGCTCCATCCCCTCACCTCACACACATCAAACCCGTCGCGAAGCTCGAAGAACCTCTTCTGAATGCTTGGTTTGGCCCCGCAGGCACCATATCACCCCTCCACACCGATCCCTACCATAATATCCTCGCACAAGTTGTAGGATACAAATACGTGCGTCTCTACGCACCTGCGGAGACGCAGCGTCTGCATCCGAGGAGTACGGATGAGAGTGGAGTGGATATGAGTAATACGAGTCATGTTGATTTGGATGAAGCTATGGCTTTGTATCCTGAGATATCTTGTTCGCAGACTGCGCGAGAGTGTGGCGGAGATCACGATGAAGTTCTGCGTGAAAGAAGGCGGGAGTTTGAGGGTGATTTCTCTGGATTTAAAGACGCACACTACATCGAAGGTATCCTAGCACCAGGTGAATGTCTCTACCTACCCGTGGGTTGGTGGCATTACATACGTAGTCTGACACCAAGTTTCAGTGTAAGCTTTTGGTTCAACTAGACAATCATCGTATTTCTCTTCTTCCATATATCATACATTCAATCCATACACATGTCCAATTCCTCTCTTCCACCAACCAGTCTTCCCACATCCTACATCTTACCACCACCCTTCTTCCTTCTAGTATCCCCTCAAACACCCACCAACACTTCCTCCCGACAACCCGCCTAAGCACGCCGCGCACGGTCTGGACACCGACCACACACGCCCTTCAACGTCCCGCGATGCACTGTATCCGGCACTCCGCTCCCACAGACTCCATCGCGCGCGTTCCAGTATGCACATCGCCGATAAAGATCTGTGTAGACACAATAGCAGCCTTCATAGGTGGTTTCTTCCCATTCGCACATGGTTTATGTTGGTGAGATTGTAGTTGGAGATGTGTTGGTGTTTGGCTTGGAGGTAAATTTGATTCTGATCGAGTGTATGTGCGCGTTGGGGGTGGCTTGAGATATCTTTTTGTTTTCAAGGGTGAAGTGTGTGATCTGGATAATATGTATAGCTTGGTATACGATTGAGGTTCTGGGGTTATACGAAAAGCGGGAAGCAGACTGCTTTTATACAGTATGCGTTGTTTGGAGTGGCGGTTTCCATTATCGTAGTTGAACGAAGATGTTGAATGAGTCCCTCATCACGATTACTATGGCCGTCTGCTCTTCCATCAGCGTTGCTATATTCCCCATGCCATAGTCCTTGTCTTTCCTGACATACACAAACATTTTGCTTGATGAGGTTAAGTGGATGCTTCCATGATCAATCATGTAAATGTAAACATAGATGCCATCGGACACAACCAATTGAATCATAACATATCCCTTTGAGCACACTACAGATTCCAGACCCATTTCATCCTCCTCCCCCCTTCATCCACACTACCCAAAAGCCGGAGCCAACGCATACCCCACAACCAACTCCTCGCCCTGCCTAAAGCAGCTCCACAGATTCCCGACCCCCTCATCCAACGCAGGACTAAACACATTGCCCACATAGCAAAACACACTCTCATGCTCCTTGACTCCCAGCCGCTTCCGCAGAAAACGTACTATCGTTGCGAAAGATTGGTTGGTGGACAGCTTGAAGATGCGTTGGGTTAGGTGGGGGGCTGAGCCTATGGGTTGGAGACGTATTGTGACTGTGGTGGGGGGTTAGTGGGTAGAAGAGAGAAGGGAGGAAGAGGTAGGATGGTGGGAGTACATGGGGGATGTAAAGTGTCTCCGTTGTTGGGTGTTTGAAAGATGGATGAACGAAAGGGAAAGGGAATACCTTTCTGAACAGCGAGATTTCCTGCTCCTTCCAACGCTTTTGAGGCGTCTTTGGGGAGGTTGGTCAGGACGACTGAGGCTGCCATGGTGAGAGGCGCCTCTGTTGTATCATCTTCCTCAGGCATCCTCTCTTTTGGTGATTCAGACATGGCGAGGGTTAATGTGTACTGATGCGAAGCGAAGAGTGAAGAGTGGGTATAACGGCTATTTTAGGCTGACACTCAAAGGATCGGGAGACTGAAGGAGGTCTGATATGGGAAAAGCGAATGTTTGTGAGTAAGTGTTCGTTCGAGGCAAGAGCGATGGTCACGATGGAAGGTGTAAACGTCGGCCTAGCCAATCAGCGCCCCACTACCCCAACATCACTTCTGTAATGCGCAAGACAATCGTTCAACCATGTCATCTTTCGCATTGATATCTAGTGTTTTCTACATATCTGATACGATAATGATATATAACATAGCCTCCAGTATGGCGTCGTCCGCGTTCGTCGCCAAGTAACCTCCCCAGTATGACAATGTTCTACAAACCTCCATAGTAGTACCAACCCTCGTTTACTAAAAACACACGCGTGCACACCACCAGCCAGCCGGTTTGCAAAGCGCAACAACCAGCAAAGATGACCCGAAGGTCATGACGCAATAGCTATATACAAAGGGGATGCATGCATCGTTAAGCCACCAGGGATCAGTGATCATGGGCCTATACAGGGTAAGGAAATGGAGCAAGTCAAGCTATGTCGCCAATAAGGGGAAAGGTAGAAGCTGCGCCTCGAAAATGCTATGGAAACGGGTATTCGCTCGCAGAGTAATGCCATGCGCCCGGGGGCGAGAAGTGAACAACAGGTGCGATAGGAAATTATGTCGTGGGTATTAGTGAGGTCGTGCATTACGCCGTAAGGGATGCAATGTGTGGCCGTGTAGTCTGCATGAGCCGCAAGGCTCATCGACGATCAAGTTGGGCGAGTAGCTGGTCAAGCTCAACCCAGTTGTCCGTGGTGACTGCGAACTTGCGGTGCTTGCGGGAGACGACGTGCTGTATGATGTCAGTATATCAATTGTGGAAGCATGTGCATAGTGCGTACCTCGTCAAAGTCATTGAACTTCTCCCTGCAGTTCTCGCAGTAACCAGGCTTCAGCTCCTTCTCAACAGTCTTGCGCCTGCGGAGGGCTGCTGCTTTACGAGCTTGTCTTTCTTCGTCTCCATCATCGTGTGTGTGACCCATGTTCTCCTGGGCCTTGCGCTTTGCCGCGCGCATGGGTTGAGAATGCTCATAGCTGAGCGCAGTCCTCACATCGTTTGTGACGGACGAATGGCCACTATTCGTATTCGCCGACGGTACGCTGTTCTTCTCGAGGACTTTTCGTTTCAGTTGATTGACTTCCTTGCTGTTTCCAGCACGAGGCGCAGCAGCAGTCGAAGAAATCATCTGCGAGCGAATGGCGGACGTGATGTTCGATTGGTGTAAACCAGACGCGACTGGCTCACCAGCAATGAAACGGGGCATGGCTCGGATGCTAGCCTGAGCACTGCCAAACATAGGTGGTGGGCCGTCTGCCGTGTTGCATCGCTTGGGAGGAAGGGCCTTTGGAGGATCTAATGGTTTCGCATCTCCATCCTGTTCTTCTTTGATGATGGCAGCAGGAGCGCTGGGACGCCTTGCCAGATTGTTGTTCTCTCCCAAAGCATTTTTCTCTTCCATAGCTGAAGCAGCACGCGTCCGTGGCGCCTGGGCAGCCTGCCTGCGGCGTGCTTCCTGCTCTTCCTGCTGTCGGCGACCGAAATGGGGATCCTCCACGAACGGGCACTTGCCGTTACCGGAGGCACGGAACTGCGGCCATTTGCCCTTCTCTTTCTCAACCTTCTGGTATTCTCGGATCATGACGGGTCGGGTAACCTCGTCCATATCGTGCACGTAGACGTAGTATCCACGGAGCGGAATCATGTCCTGCGAGGCCATGACGTAGTCGCGGTCCAACTTCTCATTTTGTAGCAGCCTTTGCAGATCGGCAGGACGGCCCTTGTGCTGCGTAGCCACCGCTTGACGTGTCGAATGGGTAGACGCGTCCTCCCCAGTCTCCTTGTTGAACATGGTATCCACCATGCGCTGCAACTTCTCGACGGACCATATCTTCATACCCAAGCTCTTAGCCTTGTACAGGATATCACCACGGTCGGACTTCTCGAGGGCGGCATCGAAGATGGACTTTTTGTTCTCCAGCTGGGCCGGGTTGATGGTGCCTTTGTGGGAGGATGAACTGCCATCGAGGTCGGCGGGAATGGAACGCGTCGTGATGACATGGGTGACTTCCCGAGAGAAAAACTTGACTTCTCGCTGGTGACTGTTAGCACGACGAGTGTAGAGCAGGGTATGCCAGACGTACGGAACCTAAGACGCGTGCCCTGTTCAGAAGTTTATCTTTCTGGGGTTCTGAGACGCTATCAAAGTAGAACGCAAACTGGGGGAACAGCTTGCGGTAGTGACGCTGCCATTGTCGAATCGTTTCTAGGTCGTTAGATGCACGCTGTGCGGCCTGCTTTGACGGAGCCTTGGTCTCTCTTGCTGCTTCCAGCTTGCGAGTCAAAGCCGTGGGCTGGGCCCCACTCCGACGAATAAGGCCGTGACGGCGAGCTTCAGCATCATCAACCTCGATGAGCTGTTTTTTGGGTGGTGGCTGGCCATAGGGGACATCGCGTTGCTCGCTGGCGTGGGAGCGTTGGCGCTTTCCTCCTATGGCAGTCGCGCGTAACGGGGAGTTCGTAGCGTTTTGCAGGTTGGCGAGGGGGACGCGCCGGTTCGACATGACTGAAGGAACCTGGGGCGACGGAGGGACAGCCACTGCTGCCATACGTAGGATAGCGGCTGAGGTCGCTTCGAGGTGTAATAGATGGGCGTGGTGGGAGGGGCACGTGTGCGTGTAGCTCACGACGCGACGGTACAGGCACGTCGAGATTTTTCTAGCAACGCGTAGCAGCCATGTCGATGCGAGGGAGCTTCAGAGACCGAGGGAGATGTTGACGACACAGCAATTGAGCGAAGGTGAAGCGCGTTGCAGACGTCGATCTGCTTTCATCGACCAAGGAAAGAGTGTCTTTGTTTGGTCCGGAGGCTGGGTACAGTATGATGCAGGTCGGGCTAGAGCGACTGCGGTTAGCCTGAAAATCTCGCGCGAACCATCCACAACATCATTTGCCTAGACAACGACACTGGGCAAACAATACACCCTTGCCGACAACACCGTCAGTGCGCCCTGCACGACATCTCGCGTCTGCGAATCTCCCACCGTATTGCTGGCTCACGATTCAGCGTATCAGGGGAAGATTTGCAGCTTCTGCATGCGGCGCGCCTCTGCTATTTGCACTGACGCCGACCCCACTTCTCCTGTCTCCTGTCCTGCGATTAATTCGACGACGAGCGCTGCACCATTAGGCCCGTCTCATTTCGCGTCCTTAGGCCAACACGGGCTGGTGGAAAGCTCCCGCGTCTTCTATTTCCAGGGGACCGTGACGGCTTCAAACTTATCCAGGGTCTGGATGATGGAGGCTTTTGTGGGTAGCCGGAAGTGTCACCCACCTTGGCCGCGACTTTGTTCTATGGGCCGCAAAACACCGGAAGCGTCAAGAAAAGTGCATACGAGAATAGACAAAACATACACGCACAAAGACGTCATGTCGGTGATGTACGTTCCGGGTGCTGCCATGCATTTAACAGGTATTGGTAACACGCAGAATTTCAGCAGAGTATACTACGTGATGACCTGGCCTCTGCATATACGGTTGCAGTTGGCCCTGAATACAGTAGGTCTGCTGTTGCACATACGCTCCTACACACTCCTTCTAGGGCTTTCAATTTGTTCTCAGACTCTCTTTCGTTCTCGTGGTTACCACATCCTCGGTTTCCAGCGCTGGCTCGTCCTGTGGCTTGCTGCCTCATTATTGTCTGCCATGTCCTGTCAATGTCACTTCGTCTCCTACTACTTCCAGGACCGTATAGATTATGTGGAAGTAAGAATGCTGCGAATCTAAACGAGCGTGGATATCAGACATGAACATCAAGATCATGATTGTAATACCAGGTCGTGCATCTTTCCTCAACGTTTTGCTCAGTGAAAGATCCACGCGTGCGGATGGTGACCTGATCATTCACTTTGACTTGAGCAAAACGCAAACAGAGAGCGCCTATAAAGTCTCTGGACTGCGTGTTTCTAGCACCTCCACTCTCCCAACTCGACTATATACAACATCGTCACCATGACCGATTCGTACCGTCCGCCGTACGATTCCAACCGTCAATGGACACCAGCGTCTACACCTTCTGAGGCTGCGCTCAACTATGATGACGCGGATGTGAACCGTATCCCGATCAATCCTCGCCGTTCCAACGTCGCAATCCCAGCTCAATCACCACGGCTATGGGATGAAGACTCAAACTCGCTCATGCATCGCACTATCCGCGCCTACGATCTCGTCGTGAACTACGATCGCGACTCCCACGGCGGTACCCGCTGGTCACGCGAGGACATCGATCGCGTTCGAGACCTCGGCCGCTATCTGCATGGCGACGTCCGCGATTTGAAGCACTGGAGTGAAGTGGTGGCAAAGGACGGGGAGCAAGACGCGTCCACTATGGATAAGCTTAGGGATGACGTCGAAAACTTGCGAAAGTACTGTGAGCAGATTCAAGCCATCATCAGGGATACCGAACGTATTCCCCTGCGCCAACGTATGACACGAGACGATGGAGCGCAGATTGGTCAGAATGTAGATGAGGGCCATAGTCTTAATGGTGGTAAGGACATCTACCCTAGTGTGACACCTTAAGTACTGACTCCTCGCTGCCTCCAGACACCAACGAGCTCGACGAGAAGACCAAAGAAGGCGAGGATATGGACGTCGAGATGAGTACCGGCCTAGAGGAGAAGCCTGAAGTAGTCGATCCGACACTTAACCCACGGCAGGCAGTCTGGGCGACTACACCGTCAACACGATTTGCTTGGTGAATGGTCATGCATCTCTGCAGGCATTTGGGTCGTGAATTCTTGTAGTATGCACTGTAGAACGAGTGGCAGACTAGTTCACGTAGCACGTTGGCGTCGCGTGTGACGAAGCAAAGATATCCAAATGTTCCCACACGTTTTCCACGTTCCAGCTGATTGGTGCTCGGTGCTCGGCTATCTCAGGACCCCTGCGCAACGGCCTGCACCTGTGGTGTGAGCGACTCAACGCTTTCACATGCTTGCAACTCACGACTCTCGAAAATAGCACGGATTCGGAATAATGCCGTCTGCGCCAAACGAGGATAGCCGCTATGCGGCGGCTGTCGCACCTCTAGGCTTATCTCGCATATTTTCATCGCCATCCTCGATCTTCGCCCGTTTCCATTCGGCTGCTTCCTATTCGTGTGCGCTCGCGGAAGAGTCTGGGTGAAGCCGCTGCTGGGATCTACAACCGCACAGCTTGGTGGATACGCCCGGGAGATAAGCCGAAAGTATGCTGAGGCTTGAGCGCGCTGATATCTGCACGGCGACTCTTGACATGGCGTCTCTAATGGAAAGGGAGGATACCAGCTTCAGACCCAGTATGCTCTACAGCGTCCTACCCACTGTCGTATCGAACCATCTTCCGACGATACCTTCGCTCCGGCAATCTCTCAACGACGTACGAAACCGCGGATCACATAGTAAATCAGCCTCGGTCGACGAACTGCCACAGCCCGAGACTCCTCCGCCAGGCTATTCGTCGATACCCCCGAGCGGCTCCGTCACACCACAGAGACTGTCAGTGGCGTTGAGTGAGGCAGACGTCGAATTTGTGGAAGATGGATTGGATAGACCTGGCTCTTCAGGAAGCGCACCTCCACAGCCACATGCCACTCACGAGAGTGGCTGTGGTATCAGGTGGAAGTACGCCACCTTAGGTATGGATGGTCGCTTATGAATGGTGATTTTGCATGCTCACACCTTACAGGAACAAGCCTTGTGGCTCAAGCATCTCGAGAATCAAGCGAATCGATCAGTAGCCCCGACGAGACATCCGCGACGCTGACCCGACAACTCTACATACACGGCATAACTTACCTACTTCGAGGGCTCCCAGCGAAGCTCACCCCAGAAGAAACTTTGAGCATACAGGCGGCTCTTCCACAAGACGTAGTCGACACAACAAACCACGCGAATACGCACGCGTTACTTCCAGTCTCGCAACGCAGCTCTAGTGCTCAAAGAGCGCCTCCACAAGACCCCACGATCTTGCACCGCCTGACCGCCACCCTCGTCCTCCAGTCCTTCGTCCTCATACAGTTCATTCTACCATACATCAAGCTATTCCTATCACATACCTACCAGTTCGAGAGGAAGCATCAGATCACAAAACGGCTCGTCAATACAGGCGTCGCGACTGTCGATGACATCGGACGGAAGACACTGAGGCTGTCGCAAACCGTGTGCCAGATGAACGATGGCATGGTAGGACAAGCGATCAACGAGATGACCATCTGGTGGGTTAGAGGTGTCACCGGAGGTGTTCAACAGGGTCTCGCCGAGGGATTACAAGCTATGAGGATAGCGGAGAGCCAGCGGGGTGAGGAGTGTGTGGGGCGGATCAACTGAGTATCTGGACTGCATTAGCTATGGCGTTAGGCATTTGCATGATTTGGTAGATTGACGAATTAATGATATGCATCGACTGTTCCACTCGAGCTGCTGGACCCTGATCATGTTCTACACGTGATCTGCCGCTTATCGTTATCGGGCGGACTTCCTAGCGCGTTGTCGACGCACGTCCCTTGGAAAAGTGCAATGGCAAAGTTTCTAGCGGTAACATTCTAACGAGTACACGCCATTCTTTTCTCCCCATTCGCCGTCTTCTTTCAGGCGCACACGCAGAGTACTCTAGTTGCTCATTCTAATCGTTCAATATACCCTCTGTTACGAACGAGCGTGTACCATTACCCGCACATCATGTTCGGCGCAGTGAGAAGATGTCCCGCGACCCTCGCGAGGAATCTTGCCTCCATCTCTACCAGGACCCTCCGCACACCCTTCCCTAATACGTCGAGCGCCTTAAGAATACCATTGCAGTCGGCGCGCCTTGGAAATGCCTCGTTTGCTGGTTTCCACAACAGTGCCGCAAAGTGGCAACAAGAGGCCCAGCAGAGCATTCAGGAAGATGGTCCCGTCACAGAGTTCCAGGACCTGGCCACACGCGGCCTTGTCCACCCCAACCTAATCAACACTATCACGAAGCAAATGAAGCTCACGACCATGACGGACGTGCAGTCCAGGACCATCAATGAGGCCTTGAGCGGGGTTGACATGTAAGATCTTTCTTCGACTGCAAGTTCAATTCACTAATGTCCTGCAGCATCGCACAAGCAAAGACCGGTACCGGTAAAACACTCGGCTTCCTCATCCCTATCATCCAACGAATTATCGCGAACGACCCCCAGCTCGGCGAGAAGGTCAGAGGATACAAGCGCGCCAGACCAGACGACATCCGTGGTATTGTCATCTCGCCAACCCGTGAACTGGCAGAGCAAATCGCTGTCGAGGCTAAGAAAGTTACCGCCGGGACGGGCATCATCGTGCAGGTTGCTGTCGGAGGCACGCAGAAGAGGGCGATGCTTCAAAAGACTCAGCGCGAAGGGTGCCATCTCATGATTGCTACTCCCGGACGACTGATGGACATTCTCTCAGACCCTTACTCCGGTATCAAGGCACCGAAGCTCAGAGCATTGGTCATGGACGAGGCGGATCGCCTCATGGACGACGGTTTCCAGAAGGAGATTGAAGAGATCAAGAACTTCCTTCCCGATCCAGCCGAGGTCGAACGCCAGAACCTCATGTTCTCCGCTACTATTCCCCGCGATGTCGTCAACCTAGTTCGCCAGATCATGCGCCCCGGCTTCCACTTCGCCAAGTGCGTCGATGAGAACGAGGAGCCAACACACCAGCGTATCCCGCAAAGACTCGTTCACCTGAACGGTTTCGAGAACGTCATGCCCACACTTTACGATTTGATCCTCCAGTCACAGCAGAAGGCACAGGCTGGTGAAACCCGACCCTTCAAGGCCATCGTCTATTTCAACAGCACTGCTGAGGTCACACTGGCAGCATCAGTGTTCTACAAGCTCAATGGCGGCTTCAAACGCAACACCCCACTTTCTGGCACCAGATGTTACGAGATTCACGCCAAGCTCTCTCAACAGCAACGTTCAAGGGCTGCAGATGATTTCCGTCTCGCGAAGTCCGGCATCCTCTTCTCCTCGGATGTAACAGCCCGTGGAATGGATTTCCCCGAAGTCACCCACGTCATCCAGATCGGTCTCCCTCGTGAGCGCGACTCCTATATCCATCGTCTCGGTCGTACTGGACGTGCTGGCAAGGAGGGTGAGGGCTGGTTGCTTATCTCACCCTTTGAGAAGCAAGAAGTCCGTCGTCGTCTCCGCGACCTGCCTCTTGTCGACGCCACTGATATGCTCGAGACTGCCACCGTTGACATGAGCGAACCGGCCGAGCTCCCTGAGAACGTCGCAAAGATTCTCTCTGACACTGTCGAGGCACACAAGAAGGTCTACCCCGACCAACTCGATGCCGCATTCCGTGGTTTGTTCGGAAGCTACCAGTGGTATGGTGACAAGCAGGGTCTGCTAGAAGGTGCGAACCGTCTGGCTGAATTTGGCTGGGGCATGCCATCCCCACCCCCACCACCTGCTAGCCTCTTCTCCGGAGGCCGCGGACGTGGCGGCGGTGGTCGTGGAGGCTTTGGTGGAGGACGTGGCGGTGGCGGTGGCTTTGGTGGCCGAAGCGGTGGCTTTGGCGGTGACCGCGGCGGCCGCAGTGGAGGCTTCGGAGGTGACCGTGAAGGCCGCAGCGCAGGCTTTGGTGGTGACCGTGAAGGCCGGAGCGGAGGCTTCGGTGGTGACAGGAGAGGAGGCGGCGGTTTCGGCGGTGACCGCAGAGGAGGTGGTGGTGGTGGCTTTGGCGGCGACAGGAGAGGAGGTGGAGGCTTCGGTGGTGGTGACAGGCGCGGAGGCGGTGGTGGCTTCGGTGGTGACCGACCAAGGAGAGAGGCCCGCGAGTTCTAAACAGCTACCCAGCTGTTGAAGGAACTTCTGCCCCGCGTCCTTGAGATGTAAGTCTGTCACACCTTCCGTCTCGCCATTTTTCTTCTCTTCTTTCTTGTACTATATACCTGTATACCCCCCACAGCAAGCTTGGAAACGAGGGATGATGACGGACATGTCGTTGTATCGATACACACTGGTTGCATTGGGCGGCGTTCACAGGATCATGTCCCGCTCCAAAAAGCAGCAGCGCATGTTGTTGTCGCCGCAGCGATCTTTTTTCAGGGTCTTGGTTGATAACGAAACGTATAAACAATCTCCATTCATACTTCTGGAGTTGGTTGTTCATGTAAAGGTAGTTAGATGGTTTAGGATGAGAAAAATTTTATTATCTGTTCATCTGGTGTCTTGGGTTGATTGATTTGTGAAGGAGGTCACGTATGTATCCTGCAAAGGCATGCTAGATGTTTGATGAAGACAGTATGAACTCCCATGGCAAGATCTGAGAGGACTATGCTTCTGAATGATGGAACCTAAAGCCAGCATTTACGCAATCGTCTCCCCTCAATCACCTTCGCATCCTCTCAGTCCCCGTCTCTGTTACAATACCAACACGCGTCAGTAACGCAAGATGCTCTCTAGTGCAAGGTCGGCCCGGAAACCTGGACACATACCACGACAGACCTCGAGAATCCAAGCTATGAGCTAATAGAATTTCGTGTTTCCTCTCCCCACTAGTTTCCCATCCATTGGTTAGGTAACACTGTCCCCCAAGTCTCTAACAACAAGTTCATATATCCCATAATCCCAAAACTATCGAACGATTGCACCGCGCATGGCCACGGAGAATCCAAGCATAATGTGCGACAGGCATGTACATAGCGTGTGCCCGCATAGGTGTGATAACCACTAAGATTACCCCACCTGTGCGGCCACACGCTTTATACAGACCTCTCGCGCATTGTGTTTACAATTAAAAATCTGTTATGCGTATTGCTGTCGTTTTTTTTTTGGTATAGTGACTAGTGTGTTTCTACTGGCTGTTTGTTGGTAGTGAGCAAACGGAAAGAAACCCTAGGTTCGGTTCGAGATGGGGGATGGTGGGTCTTTTTGGGATAAGATCGCATGGGTTTGGGAGGTTGGGGGAGGGTTTTTTTCTTTGCATTGTGTATGGGATGGGATGTAGAGGCGAGTGTTTCACTCACATGGTGCGAAGGTAGATAGCTCGCTGGATTGTGATGGACTGTTCAACGTTTGCGTCTTTTGGTATCTATCAAGATAATGATGCTCGTGATGATGTAGAAGAATCCTGGTGTACGCACAATTTAATGTCGGGAACAATGTATTTGTCCTCTATAATGTGCAGAACAACCTTCGTCTGTTACATAACTCTAAAGAAGGGGAAATGACTACCGACAAGACCAGGAAGCGCCCTATCAACACTCCATCACAACAAATCTGACTTCTCCTTCTCCTCATCAACCACCGTTCTAAATTCCTCAAACGCTTTCTTATCCATAGGATACGTATGTTCCGTCGCCGGATACTCCCTACTCTTGACCTCTTCCCTGTACTGTGATATCGCCCGATGCGCCTCCTCCCATACATTCCCATACTGCTTGACAAACTTGGGCAGGAAGCGTCCAGGTGGGAAGTTTCCCAACATATCAACCTGTACGAGCACCTGACCCGAGCAGCCATTCCCTGCTCCGATACCAATAGTAGGTATACGCAGTTCTCTGGTAACCACAGCAGCGACTTCAGCTGGCACGGCTTCTAAGACGACGGCAAAAGCACCTGCTTCCTGGACGGCGAGCGCATCGTCGAGGAGTTTCAAGGCGGAGTATGTGGATTTGCCTTGGACGCGGAAACCTCCTAGGGCATTTTGACGCTGAGGTGTGAGGCCGATGTGCGCGAGGACGGGGATGCCAGCTGACGTTATCTTAGCTATTGTAGGAGCCATTTCCTTGCCGCCTTCTAGTTTAATCGACTTGACGCGACCGATTTTGATCATGCGGATAGCGGATTCGAGGGCTTGGGCGGGCGAGATCTCGTAGGTTCCCATGGGAAGGTCGCCGACCTGGGAGGTTGTTAGTGGGCCTGACAAGTGTTACATGAGGGTTTTGGGACGTACTGTGAATGCACCTTTTGTTGCGCGCGCAACAGATTTGCAGTGCAGTAGCATCTCTTCCATTAGTACTTCGCTGGTGTCTTCCATACCTAGTGCTACCATGGCCAGACTGTCTCCGACGAGTATCATGTCCATGCCCGCGTGGTCAGCGACATGTGCGCTGGGGAAGTCGTGCGCGGTGATCATGGTGATGGGCTCGTTCTTGCGATATAGACTCTGCAGCGTATTGAGTGTGACAGGTTTACGCGCATTTGCTGGCGCAGAGCCCAGCGGGGAATGTGAACTCCATCGGATCTGCGCGGAAGGCAGTATGGTTCGCGATATCGATGACAGCGGCGAGTATGCACGTGGATTTGTTTGAACATGTCGTGAAGACGTTCGCAGCACGTTCATGAGGGCACGCGACATGGCGGCAGTGTCGCGGGTATGGTTGTGGTGGGTATTTTGGGCGGTAGAAAATTTGTCAGAGCCCCTGAGGACGGTGTGGAGGTTTGTTCGTAAGCCATGGTCCTAGGGCGGGATGGGTGTTGCTTTTAAGCAACATGTGCAGAGAGCTGCGCTGAAGATTGTATACCTAACCTTGGAGTTTTGGAAGAACCGAGGGTCAGCCTGCGCCCAGACGCCAGGGGTCTGGATGTGCCCTGATTGCTTCGGCGAGTCGATTACTTGGTACGCCCCGCCTTTTGGTTATGACTATGTGTATTGTAGCGTGTCCGTCCCATCTGCCTTTGTTTCTCTCTGAATTCAGCGTTTTGCTTCGAGTTGCAGAGGGCGTCGTTCGGACCGGCGGTGAAGGCCTCAGGCGAGGATCTCGGGGAAGCTGCGGCATTGCTCCTCAGTGATTGGATGTCGGTCCCAGAGCACCTTCAGTCTCGGTATGCATTGAACTTATACTATCTTCAGCTGTGCGGTCGGCATAAGCTTCGAACAAATCTTGGTTGATTCAGACGGAATTGAAGATTGCCTCGTTCCATCTACGCTGAAGTGTCAAGTCAGATCAGGGAGGCGGTAGCCGTCGGGAACCAGCCAGTCTGCGTTTGGTAAAGAAACGTCGCGCTTCATGCACGGCGAGTGTATCTCAGTCTTTCTGCTGTTCTTGTGCATCACCGTAGATCATTTCAGGGCGTCTTGTTATACTTGGTAGATTCAAATGTTGGGTTTGGATGGCTACGCGTGGCACACGGTGACGTAGCCTTTGGAGTCTACTACCTAGGTATCTGCACAGCTGCGAATAGACATGTAAGCACCTGGGTAGAGTCAGTGATAGTAGGAATAGGTATTATGATGACTGGAGAGCAGTGCTGTTATGAAAGCATGAGGCAGAGATACGCAGTCGCGCCGTGGTCTCGGCGATGACTTGCCCGGCGAGACGTGCGCAAGCGTGACATGCCGGTATCGAGCTCGTGATCGCGACTACCGCATTCATCACTCCCGCCTCACTGTTCCTGCCCTTTGACACGTCCGACCCCAAAGACGCGACAACAACACACATTCACCGATCGACATCCCTACCAGGGTTCAAACAACTTCGATCTGCCAGCAAAGCACACACCACTTGCCAACGAACGCGCCCCTCATCCGCTATCGATAGCCCCGCCGCCTACCTCACGAGAGCTCTCACTGCGAGCTGCACACTACCATACACGACGTAAAGAGAAGCGGAAGACTAGGGAAGAGCAGCATCCTTTAAAGATCGCGATATCAGGAACGCCAAAATGAGTTCGCCAAAGAGACGTATTGAGACGGATGTATGTGGAGACCTTCACCCCGGTGGTTGCTGAGCAAAGGACAAGAGCTAACCGAGGCCTCTTTCCAACTATACAGGTCATGAAGTATGTTGCGCATGGTTCCGGCTGTAAGACAGAATGCTAATACGCCATCAGGATGTATGTCGACCATTTTACCGCCTTCTTCGCGCCACGCGCCTGGCAACCATGGTGAATCCTGATAGCTGATACAAGGCAGGCTCATGAGCGACTACGAGGTGACTCTGGTCAACGACAATAGTGAGTAACATGACACCCATTCCTATCGGATACACAGCTAACATCCCGTAGTGTCAGTCCTTCCTACCATCCGAATCCGCATCCGCCGAAACGACGCTGACACATCACAGGCAGGAGTTCTACGTTAGGTTTAAGGGCCCAGTAGAGAGTAAGTTGTGCACGCGCCATGCGCATTATCATGTGCTAATGAAGGACAGCGCCATTCGAGGGCGGGCTTTGGAAGATCCATGTCGAGTTGCCTGATCAGTATCCGTATAAGAGCCCTAGCATCGGCTTCGTGAACAGGATATTCCACCCCAATATCGACGAACTGTACGAACTATACCTCTATTTGGCTACATTGAAGAATGCCCGCTTACTTGTACAGCTCTGGCTCCGTCTGCCTCGACGTTATCAACCAGACATGGTCACCAATGTACGACATGATCAACATCTTCGAGGTCTTCCTTCCTCAGCTCCTGCGATACCCAAACCCGACCGATCCTCTGAACGGCGAGGCCGCAGCCCTCCTTATGCGCGAACCTAAGAGCTACGAGGCCAAGGTGAAGGGTATGTATACAAGGGTGAGTCGTGTGAGCCAGGCTAATGTACATCTAGAATACGTCCAGAAGTACGCCAACAAGGACACTGCCGAAGACTCCGACAAAGACGATGGCGATGACGATGAGATGAGCTCTGTCGGCAGCTACGAGTCAGGCGATGAAGATGAAGCGGCGGGCAATATGGAAGACATCTGAGCCAACCCTTCTTCGGGTGCTATCAGTCTCCTTTGTATTGTCCACGACCTTTCTTCTTCACTCTATTTCCATGGCTGGATGTTCACGGCGCTGATATGGCGCATATAAAGGCCACATTGCTACATATTCCCCTGACATGTGGCTGCTTTACGGTTTGGTTCTGGGATTGGATCTCTCTGTTGGCGTTTGTGTCTTGCTTTTGAATTTCATAGTAGGCTTGTGACTAGGGTCATTTCCTTCGTCACTCTTGTGTAAGATTGGTCGGATGACCTTCTCGATCTTATAAGTTAAGGCCGATGTTAGAGGTACTGTATGCTATTACCTGACATTTCCTCTCACTACTCACTTTGCTCAACTCTCACATCAGTCCTTTTCTCATGTCTTTTCGCCTTTCTTATAACTCTATGAACTCACTCTCTCTACTTGTTCGTTGCTGTTTCCGTCAATTCGTACAGCACATGCAATAAGTATCGCACTCAACAGCCGTACCTGGCACATAAACGGATGCCTTCATGTGGCACTGGTTCCTGTTCATTGCCGCGAGCTACTATCGTTCTTTATTGGCTATTACTCTCCCTTCCTACCGTGTCTCAGGATATATACATACCATTGGGCCGCCCACCGGCTCCTCACCGCTCCACACTACCAATCAACCGACGCTCCTCACGGTGAAGGCGAATCACGTCCACATCAAGCCCTACCGCTTTCTTCCCCGCTCCTCGTCTTCTTCACCTCGAAACACTTTTCGCCATGCGGGGGTGCAAAGTTCTCGTCGCCCGGCCCGAGCGCGTCCGCGTCCGTTTGAATATAAACACCCAATCGAGCCATCACAACAACACCTCGACGCGAACAACAATTTTTCACAGCGCACAACACTTTTACTGGCAACAGCAGTTATATACCAGGTCAGAGTACGGAGTTCCCCTTGCATACCCGGGATCTTCGTGGTTTGGAAGCTAAATTGATAGAGCGACAGTCAAGGTCAAGATGGTGTCTCACAACGAGGCAGCCAGTCGCCACGACAAGCGTGCCAGGGAACATCCGGCACTCAACGCCAACACCAGTACTGGTTTCACCAACATCGGAGCTCCGACTAACTCAAGGCGTTCGACTGGGTACCTGGGTCGGAATGGCCGTCATGCTGACAGCAGCCGACGCAATTCGGCTCCGGGCACTGGTCTCCCTACTGTACCTCGCCCGCAGAATGATCATGGTCTCAACTATCATGGTAACCCAAACGCATCCTGTGGTCTACTGCTACTAGCTGCTAACACCAGTACCGGTGCCGTCCGCAACAAGGCCAGCCCTGAGCCTGACGACAACGCATTCACTACACCTACCAACCGTCGTATGGTCAAGTCCAGCCCCACTGGTCCGTCTCCCTCGTTCAGTGGCTCGCGCTTGATGCGTGTCCTCCCCGAGTCCCAGCGCCTGCCGTCTCCGACGACGCCGCTTGGCCACGAGCCACCCGCTGCCATGACCATGTCTGCAAGCCCGATCCGCATGCTCAATCGCCCTAAGGGCAAGGGCAAATCGGTCGAAGAGCAGTACTTTCTGCCCGGTCCTCCCGGCTCCAACATCACGGTCGCCAAGCGAGGCAGTTCCAGGAAGCGCTCGAACAATCGGGGCGTCGACGGCGGCGACGAGGATGCCGCTAAGCGCAAGCTCTCTAACCCTATCCTTGCTGCTGTCGTCGTTGGTCGTAAACTTTCGAAACCTCGCAAGAAGCACGTCTCGGAGCGGCCCATCCTCAGGGGATGAGCGGCAATAGGGAGGCCAGGCACATGTAAAGAGCTATTCCTGCGGAAAATAGTGACGGGGGTCTCGACTGTACAAGAGCTGTGTGCTGGATCGCTGTTCGCTGGTTTCCGAGATGCGACGCGATCGACTCACAGTAAGTATTTCTTCCTCAATGTCTTTCTTCAGCGTTTTGCCAGTCATTTTTCCACGCATGCGCTTTTCTTCGCTTTTTGCAGTTCGAGTCTGGGAGGTGATCGGGTGAGTTGTATGTGCTGGATATGGCGATGGTGGGATATGGATCAGTTCTGTTGCTTGTGAGTTGCGCTTCTCTTCGGTCAAACGGACGGGATATGAGGATGTTGACGACGAATTATGGGTCTGGATCTCGGTCTCGTGCTTGTGTTCTTACGACTTTTATGATGGAGTTATGGACGGATGGAAGAACTGGATGATACCCTTTTCCTTGTACCGGAGGATTACTGGTGGAGTTTCAAGGTTCGGATTTGAGAGGTTCGGTCATACGTAGGCTGCTTCTTGTAGCGATCTGCTTGGGCCGAGGGCTCTGAGCAGTATCAATCGAGACTTGAATCTCAATTTTCGTCATGAGTGTGTGGTCTGTGAGAGCGCCTTCCTTACATGAGCTGCCAAGGCACTAATCCATGTGTTACTCACTCAACTTCCGCCTTCCTCTTTCCTACACCTTTCAACCATCTCAAAAGTTTGATACTCGTTGTTCCCGAAGCGATGCCAGGCCGACAGCAAGGCGCTCAGCGTCGCTCCTATCACCACGGCTGTGCCATGCACCCAAGCGACGATTCGGCGGATGAACCACGCCCAACACCTTCATGCCGCACCCCCACACGTCCTTCAATATGCAACAGCGCCTATCGATGCGACAATGAGAATTATACCCGGCGTGGTGAGTCTGCCTCAGTGCGCCGACAGAGAGGCGAGGCCACTACCCCGCCTATCCTGCACGCAAAGACCCAAGATGGTGACTGCGATTAGCCGCTGGTTGGTAGAGGCGTGCATGCCCAATAAAGCCATCAGTTCACCGGTCAATATGCACGTTCAGAATGGTTCTGTCGGGTTCTCTCCCTTTCTATATTGCTGGGTGCTTCCGCACATGAAAAGAGACGGTGTTGCATTCGAAGACACTCCTAGTCCGCAAAATTCTTGGATTTGTGACGCTCATTCTCAGTTCTACATCTTTTTGCTTAAGGTACTCATATCGATACATCATCAGAACGTTATTACCATATCACAATGGAGCCTTTCAGCGCCGCGGCAGCAGCAGTTGCTTTATGCCCAATCGTTATCGGAATTGCCAAAGAACTCCGTGTCGCCTATAAGAAAATTACGTATGCACGACAAGAACTCGAAGAGCTGGTGAACGAGATGGACATCTTTACCGACCTGTACACGGAGTTTCTCAAAGTTTGCTCAACAAGGAAGAAACACAGAAGAAGTGTGTCCTCGGCCAAGCGAAAATTAGTCTCCTGGACCAAACATGCCATCGCAGACTTCAAAACATTGGCGCACAAAGTGGATGCCCTATCGCGGGATCCTGTCTATAAGCACAGCATTATTGATACTGGTCTTGCTAAGTTTAAGTGGTACTTTAACACCAAGCATCTGGTCTATCTACGCGCATCCTTGAGCATTACAAGACAAAGTATGGTCGGCTTCACGAATATCTGCGCCATCGAATTACTAGACGAGCAACTGGCTCACCTCAAATCCGTTTTGACAGCTCAGCAAAGGGAAGATATCTTGTATGAGTATGGTATGACTGTGGAGCAGCGTATACAAGTATTGCAAAGCTCGAGGTAAGCGGGTCTTCATACATGAGTCGAGCTAGGCTTACTCAACGCAGGGATACATACGAACTCAAACAGAGTCAACTACCAAATCGTCTCGAGGAAGCAGAAAAAAAGGTCAACGACTATGCTAAGCAGAAGAATAAACAAGATGTCATCAAGCAGAAGCGACGGGTACTAGACTTCTCAGAGTCAGTAGAAAGACACGTCGAACGTGTCCTTCCTATGGACGATGCTGGCAACAGACCACCTCGCCCACCACGGCGTTCTAGGAATGGCTCAAGATCGCAACGTCACGACTCATCACTGACGTCTCAGTCCACTACTACTACTACTACTACTACTCAAACACAGTCTACGCAACCTTCACACCAAGAATTCTCGACACCAGAATCTCCTCCAACGTCCCCTGAACCTACCCACGTCGACATGCCCAGCGAGCCTCAAGTCGACGAAGAAGAAGTAATCAGCCTACTCAACTTCTGCGAGATATGCGGCGGTACCTGTACAAAGACCGAAGCCCACAACACTTCTATTCAATATATACCCTCAGAGGTAGCGTCTCATACAAGTCTGGTGGCTCCACCTGTGGTATCTCGACCGCCGCCCAAGTCCGAAGGGAATAAAAAGAGGCTGCGCGCAGCCTCCTGTCCACAGACACAACGAACACGACTAAACAGCCAGAGTCCAATGTCTCCAAAGATTGCACGTCACGAGATAGATAGACGCTGTCCAGCTGAACCAACTATCGATGAACTGCATGCTAGTCCATGGTACAGTATGGAACTCTATGTGGACCATGAAGACGACTTGCAAGACGACTCATCCCAAGAGGAAGAACCAAGATATGAGCACGATAATAAGGCGGGTCCGAGTATATGGCAGGCTACTGGTGCGTTTGAGGGGAACATGCCAAGGGGTCTGTCCATACGGCGGCAGAGAAGTAGGTCACCTCAGGACTTTTGGTAGGAGATTGTAAGCACACCGCTTGCGTGTTTGTGTAGGCCCAAAATGGTTTGTCTGAGGCGGGAATTGGGTCCCGGCGGAGTGAGAAGGGGAAACGGTGAAAATGAGAGCACATGAATGGTTTCAGTCAAGATGTATGCGATGGTGTATCCAATTCTTCATGTCCAGACTAATCCAGAAGATCCATTGACCCTATGACCCGTTAAGAAAGCTTCCAAGCTCCCAGCAGATGTGCGCAGATTCATATCCGTATCCTTTCAGCGAGACCAACTCAAACCCAAAAAGGGCGAGTCGAGGTCTCAAGCCGAAAGGACCGAAACATGAATACCGAGCCAGATACTGGGCGACCGATAGTTTACAAGAGCCACGATGCCAACGATGGAAGAAGAGGAATAACCAAGAAAGAAAGAGAGCAAGGAAAAAATCCAACCACCGTTCCCATACTCAAAACAGGGAAGAAAGAAACGCCGATACCCAATGCCTGATAACAATGCAAGTCCCCAATCAACCGATATCCAAAGTAACACCACCCTATTTTTCATCAAACAGAATACTCAAAACCAACCCTCCCGTGTCTCTCTCACACAACAAACTCAATGCACGCTCGCCCTCCACCCCTCCAACGCATTAAAACTAACATCCCCCTCCATACTCTCCTCACCAAACCCTTCCCAAGGAAGTTCATGCGTCTCATCACCACTCTCCTCCGCCCCATGATCCTGTTGCGCCGCACTACGCCTCAGCTCCACACTCTCATCCTCATCCTCATCAACAAAGCTGCGAATCGTAACTTTCTTCGCCTTCTTTTTTCCACCAGTAGGCACCGATTTCTCCGTGTTACCATCGTCTTGTTCTTGCTCCTGTTCAGACTGCTGGACAAGGACTTCTTGTGTAAGGTCGTCGAATTCCGCTTCGGTGAGGTCGTCTGCTTTTTGGCCTTCGAGCACGTCGTGGAGGCGGTAGATCTGCATGTCGAGCCATTCGAGACGGCGGTGCAGGTCTTGAATCGAGGCGTTGAGGGCGTCGCGGCGGCGCTTTCCTAGGCTGGGGTCGTGTTGCTCGAGGAGGGCGCCTTGGACGGCGAGCTCGGCCCAGAGGTGGACGCGCTCATCTTTGAGGCCTTTGACGACGAGGGCGAGGGCTTCGCGGGGGGATTGTGCGGGGCGGAGGGTGGCGTCGGGTTCGTCGGCTGTGCGCGTGGATACAGAGACGAGTTTGGGGACGCGGAGGGGACCGGTGGCTGTGGTGTAGCCTTCGCGGCGGCAGACGGTGCAGTTGTCGTTGTCGTGGTCCTTGTTGATTGGTTTGCGTGAAGTGTTGGGTTGAGAAGTGGTGCTGAGCTTAATGTCGGGGAGGATGAAGGCGGATGTCATCTCGGTGGGAGCGCTGCGGCGTCTGCGGCTGGTGTTGCTGAGCATGGACGCGTCAATGGCTGATTGCTTTGTTTGGGTGGCTTCAGCGTCGGCATCCATGTTCGACATGTTGCCAGTGTCTTCCTCGAAGTGAGTGTTGGTGGTGCGCTGTGTGGTGTCCTTGAGTGATGACTTGCGCACAAGGGATGGTCGTCGTTCGCTCTTAGCGGAAGCAACTGATCTGACGGTGTCCTCACGGGTTTGGCGCTGCGATCGAACGGTATCCTCGCGGACTGGCTCCTCAGTCCTAGCAGATGAAGCACCATGGCGCTCAGCAGCTCGCTGTTCTTCCAGAGATCGTCGAAGCCTAGCAATCTCTTCCTGAGGGAAGAAGCTCAACTCTGTCAGACTCAGGTCAGCAGGAGGCTGAACGGTCGTGGTCTGCCTCGTTGAAGTGGGGTTGCGTGAGATGCGAAGAGTTGAGCGAGGCGCAAGAGACAGATCGGTCGTCGACTCCACATCACTCTCGGCGCAGGCGTGCTTGTCCGCGGGAACAGGTGCTGACACACTGCGGGTTGAGAACCGCGAATGTCCGGTGAACGACTTCCGGGGGCTCTCTTGGTTGGATACTCCGGCGACCTTGCTGTTGCGGACTTCCTGCTGGACACGATTCCTGATGCGCGTACGTGTGTCTTCGCGGCGGTAGCTAGGCTTGCGTTGCAGAGTGTCTTCGAAAATGTGCTCCGTATCCCTAGTTCTCGAAACCGGGCCGGTGGTATCGTCAAAGTGCTGTTCGCTGTCCCTAGCCTTTCGAGCATTCTCACGCTGACGGATCTTTCGCTGCAACTCCGCCTCTTTCCTGGCCCACTCCTCGTTCTCCTCATCTTGCTGAGCTTGCAGCTCGCGAAGCTCGTTTCGGAGGTTCTCGTTGTCCAGACGCATAGCTTCGTTGGTACGCTCTTGTGTCATGTCCTCGAAGTGTCGGATGGTGTCGTCGCGTCGGCCAACCTGAGCTCGCAACGAAGCTTCTTGACGAGACCAGCGCTGAGCCTCCTCTTCGCGCTTCGCCTTCAGTTCTGCCAACTGAGCCTTGAGCGACTCGTGGTCGGACTTCAAGCGGGCATACTCAGCATGCTCTTGACGCGCCTTTCGCAGTTCCATATCCCTACGAGTCAACTGCTGGGTGTTCTCGTCCTGTTGAGCGCGTACGCGAGCCAACTCGGCATGTAGGTTGGCGTTCTCCCTCTGGGTTGCGTTCGCGGCTTGGTCGAATTGCTGACGAAGTTGAGTTGTCTCCTCGCGGTGGTGTGACTGGTCTTGTTCGAGTTGTTCGCGAAGGTTGTCAATCTCCTGGCGGAGCTGCTCGTTCTCGTGGCTCAATGCGTTCTTCTCCGTCTTCAGTTCCTCGCAGGTCTGGAATGCGACACCCAGCTGATTCGCCATGTTGTCTCGTTCGGTGCTTAGGCGTTTCTTCTCGATTTCGAGTACAGCGAATTTGCGGTCAGCGCGATCGAGCTTGGTTCGGAGGGTTTGTACTGTCGCGTCAAGACCTGGCCATTGTCAGTAAAGTCATACATGTTCCATCTTCTGCAGCAACTTACGCGTCTTCTCGACCTTCCAGCCGCTCTTTCCGCCAGCATCAGAGTCCTGTGCGCTGTCGCTTCGTCGCAACTTCTCTTGGGCTTGCGTAGTCGCCCTCAGCTCGATCAACTCCAGTTCCTGCTCGTCCATCTTCTTGTCCTTCTCCTCACGCTCACGCTCCATGTCTGCAATCTTCTCCTGTAGCTGCTGGAGGGCAGCGAAGATGGCCTTCTCTTCATCGGGTATGGGCGCGCCATCGATCGGGATATGCGATGGGCGGCGACCACCGTACGGAGGAGCAGCGAAGCGTGATCTTGAGGGTGCGGTCTTGGAAAAGACTGGTGTGCCGTCATCAAAGACGCCTGAGACGAGCTCGGTGAGATTGGGAATATCGGGCAGAATAAAAGACTGCGCAGTCGCGTTCTGTGCTGTGGCTGGCCTAGAACGAGATGCAGCTTTTGATTGCGGCTGGTCGACGTTGCCGTCAGTTTGGAGGGAGGTCTGTCGGCTCCTGTTGCCCCAGCGCGTGTTCTTGGCCGAGTCCATGGTCAGTGTTGGTGGTCGGTGCTCCATGAACGATGACTCGTCCTCTGATAGCTTCGCGTGCAGCTGTGCAAGTGAAGTGCGCTTGCGGTCTTCCTTGGTAGAGAGGGCGGGGGAGTTGCGCTTGCTCGCAGGACGCGGTGATGCAGTATCGAGGTCGTTGCGCGAGGCGCGTCGGATCGCCGCGTCGCGTCGAAGGCTGCCAGTCTCTGCTTGGTATGACTTGCGCGACCGGTTGGTGGGGGGTGTGATGTCGTAAAGGCTGTTAAACTGAGAGCTCATCTTGCTGGGGGTACCGCGGTTGCTGCGGTTACCTCGCGCCTGCTCGACGGCCATGCTTTCCTCGTCGGATATGCTGTGGTCAAAGTCGCCGAACTCCTTGTTTACCATGGATGTATCCGGCTGGACCTGCTGGGAGCGGAAGGGTGCCCAAGTGTTCATCTTCTTGGCTGTTGACCGAATGTGCGGGTATGCTGGAAGTGTGTTTGTGTCTTCGCCAATGTTGTGTTGTGTGGACATGAGAATGTCCGGGTCGTCAAAGAACTGAGACGTGTTGGTGCCGAAGCCCGAGCGCTGCGTTGGATTCGAGTCGCTTGGTGGTGGTGATGGCGAGGTAATGTTCCTGGGGCTGTGGCTGAGGCTGCGTGATAATTCTCTGATAGCGCGCGCTTTCCCGTCACTTGTGGGAGGAGACGACTGCATGTCGAAATTGTGAGGCTGCGGCGGGCAGCTTGTGGAGGGTCGCGTCGCGTGGTAAACACGTGAATAGGGTATGAGAAAGATACTTCGTAAAGGCTACTGAAGTTATTTCATTACCTCCAAGAATGATTCCAGCCTAAGTATGATGGGGTGTCTTGGGGCGCGTTGTAGTGGAAAGTGCGATGAGTGTTGAAGACGAAGCGGGTCAGCGTGTTTACTCCAAAACAAAGCTAACGAATCCTGGCCCCACCCAGCCACCGACGCCCGTCATAACGTGCGCGGCGCGTGGAACAACTCGAATTGAAAGGCACTGCACCCGACTGTGACGTTCGAAAGTATGGTTATGATGATTTCGTTGCTTCGTGTCAATGCTATAGAGGTATCATAAATCGGATCTGTCACAACCATACTCCATCCCCAAACATCCGTTACATGCCATCCCATGCAACACTTCGACCTGCGCAAAGTCGATTCCATCTCCACAGAACACCCACCACCATCATGTGTGCAAGCAGGAGTAACACCGAGCGTCCTAGCCCACCCAAGTCGACCGGTCTTCCCCTGATAGATATGCCAGCATGCAAGAAGTCGAGTGATGCTATGCACAACAACGGGTACAGGACGCGCGGATCCGCCGCAAACGGTTGACAGGGCGAGAGCAAACTGTACGCCTTCGCGCAGAACAGCAGAATCTTTGTAGTGCTGATAACAGCGGGGTTCCTTGACAGTCTGTACAACTTTGATGATGCACTCGCAGGTGGCGGTGGAGGCAGCATGAGACGCTGTGGTGATGGCGTTCTCCCTCCAGAAGGGGGCGGCGGAAACTCCAATTTCCTCCTCAAGATCACCGCCCCGTCCTCAGAAGACTGCCTCCTCATCGGCTGTGGAGGTGGCGGACTAGGCGACCGGTCCATAACAGTCGCGCTGAGATGCGATCGGCCTGGCCGCGTGTAGTTGATTGAGGTACGCTTCTTATTACCCTGGTTAGGTGACGGACTAGGCGTGTCAGCTCGCGAGATGCGAGGACTGAACTCATCTAGACCCGATGGACCTGCATATGCGTTGTACTCGTCAAATACCAGTGGTGATTTCAGGACATTTAGAATTTCCTCTGCACCTGGGCGTTCATCAGGGTTGATAGCGAGGAGTGTCTTGAGCGATCTGTATAGCTTTTCGGGCAAATCTGATCGTACCCGCTGTTCGTCGTCGATACCAGCCCAAGTTGAAATCTCCGCCCTCAATTGATCCAGGTCCTCGTTGTCCTCATCGATACCATCCGCATTCCGGTATGGCAGTCGAGCAAAACACATGAAGTAGACAATCATGCCGAGCGAAAAGATGTCAGACTTGGTTGTGAAGTTGCCAAAAGCACCCCCAGGCCGCTCTTGACGCAGCACTTCGGGGGCGCAGTATGAGATGGTTCCGGTAGCTCCTGTAGAATTCCTTGCCGTGTTGGCGGACTGCACTTCGCCGAAATCGCTGACGAGGACTTTGATTTTACGGCCAGTACGATGAAGCAAGCAGTTACTTGGCTTCAGGTCCCGGTGGATGTAGCCGTTTGCGTGAAGATGACTCAAGCCGGATGTGATGTCTTTGAAGAAGGATATGATCTCTTCAAAATGCATGCGACGAGGTCCATGCACATCCTCTGGATCTTCCAGCTGGCCCTTGGACCTCCTCCTGAGTCGCTCCTTCATCTGCTCCTTGGTGACAGATGTCTTCATGGAGTCTAGAATATAGTCATGGAGATCGCCAGCGTTGCAGTACTGTTGCAGTATGAACGCGCAGGGTACGCTTGGGCCAAAGCTAGAGATCTGGTAGTCCTCCAGCCATACATGCCGATATGATACCAGGTTCTCGTGCGACAGGGTCTGAAGTAGTTGCACTTCAATCAGCACCTTCTCCAGCCATTCGTGATCGTCGCCTACTGGCACGCGCTTGCATGCGAACTTGCCCAGGTGCACGCCGTCCAGGATATGCTGCACCAGCAGGACCACACCTTTGCCTCCTCTTCCCAGCTCCCGCTCTTCTATGAAGAAGTCTTTGAAGTAGTTGGGACTGAAGGCTCTGGCAGAGATACCCTGGCTTCGAGCGGGCTGGATCGGTGTGCTTCCCACAAACTCAGAACCCTCTGGCGGGTCGAAGCTACCCATGCGCAAAGGAGCAGGCGCCAGTTGTTTATGTGGTGAAGATGGTCGCGATCCTTCTGTGGATCCTGGCTGACTCCGGCGCAGCATTTGGAAGTATGCGGGATTGACGAAGCCATTTTCGGTAGGTATGCCAGGCGCAGTACGCTCCTCTGCGTCGCTGTCGTGTTCGTCATGCGGTGATGGTTCGCGGTAGGATCGGTGACAGTATGGACATGACGTAGAGCCGATATCAGTCGCGTGGGAGGCATCGCGGAGGGAGAGTTGTTTCGAGCGCTGGTCGTAGACGACAACAGCGGAGCCATGACGCCTGTGATGTTCGTTAGCTTCCAGTCATTGTTTTCGCATCGCATGCTACTATGAGAACCTACAGCACAATCTCCCGCGACTCAGCCGGGGCGTAGGGAATCAGCGACATGTTTTGGTGCGACTTGCGACTGTCGGCCCTGTCGTATGGGTCTCGGCCTAGGGAGAGCGCGCAACGTCTTCGACTGCGGTATGCAGCGTGTCGCACACGTAAACAACCGAGCTGACGTAACTACCTTCAATATGGAAAATGTGATATGTGCAGTCGTACCACCTCGTGCGGTGCGGGGAAGCTGCAACTGGGTATAGGCAGGGTCCTTAGTCGATAGCCCACAGCGGATAGCAGAAGGGGTAGCGAACGGCCTCGCGACTGTCTTGTAGAAGTGGCATGACCGTGTTACTCAGGTAGCGCTGACTGTTGTCATGGTGTTGTGTGTTGTTTGGACGGCGCGCAGGTTTTGGTGGGGAGAGTGGAACGGCAAGGGCGTCCCAGCTGGCAAGGGTCTGTCACCGTCTCATAGCAAGTGCATACCAACAACGACTGGCCAGACTCATCATTATTTTCAGTGGTGCTCTACCAGGCAGTCTCTAGGGCTATCAGTAAACCGGATCCATGCACGGTTTCATCCCCCTCCCACCTCATACAAGAAAAAACCTGAACACGTCTGCAGACTACATCAAACCAACAACTTGCAAAGTGGGTGGCCCAACGTCAACGTGGACTCCAGAGTGTTCGATTTTTTCCTGGGTTGACGTGCTCCTGTCTCCTACAGGTGGCTCTTGACCAACATGCCACCCTCCCAGACCTCGCCCTTCTCCAGCCTCTGCCAGCCGTCCACGGCACCGATCTCGACGCAGACCATGTTCTTGTAGCCGTCATCGGGTGAGAAGTCGCCCATGGCCTTGGCCTTCTCGATCCACGGGTTCCAGGTCACAGTGTCCTTGACGTTGTCACGGATGACGTCAAAGCGAGGCTTGCCGTCTTCGGTAATCGATGTCGTGTCCTGCTTGATGTCCTTGTAAACGCGATCTGTCTCGCCGGTGATCTTGAGCTGGTTGTCGCTCTGGGTGTGGGTGGAGGCGTTGAGGACCTTGTCGATGTACTCGGTGCCAGACAGGCCGGTGATGGCGATCTTGGACACATCCTGGATCCTGAAGTAGGTGTGGAGCAGGAACTGGAACTCGAAGCTCTCCTCGCCCTCGTTGCGGACGGTGAGAACTGCCTGTAGGCTGTCCTTGCTCAGTGTGACGCTGTATACTAGGCCAAAGTCGAGCGGCCATGCCTTGCGCGACTCCTCGCTGAGCGACTGGCGGTCCAAGCCAAAGTCGAGCTTGACCGAGTTGGAGTCGAGAGCATCCTCCGCAGTCGACTTGCCCATGTACTCCCAGCGCGATCCACGCGCGAAACCGTGTTGTGGAAGCGACGAAGTGGCGTGTCCCCCCTTGGGAGGAGGACCGAAGACGGGGAATACGACGGGGATACCACCGCGTACGGGCTTCTTGCCTGTCAGGTCGGCCGCGTCGCTCACCCAGAGGTTCTCAGTCTTTCCGCCGTTGCTCTTCCAGCTCGTAACGGTGGCGCCAAAGAGCAGCACCTCGACGCTCTCACCAGACGGCAGTCTCGCGACGACCTTCTGGCTGCCACCCTCTCCGACGATGTCGACCTGGGGTCCAGGTGCTGACGCGGTGGGCGCGTTCAGCGCTGAAGGGCGGTTCGCACGGTCGACCATGATGACGATGTGTTGTTGCTGTAGCTCGAGGTGGTGGGGTATCAACTGTATAACTCGAAGCGGCTTGTTTGCGGGTATGATTGATTGCTCGAGCTGCAATTGAGAATTAGATGGCAGAATGGTAGGAAGTCAATTAGGGACAACTCACACTAAGGGTAGCAGGCGGTATGGAGCTACTTGTTCTACAAGGGAGGTGCTCGCAACGAGAGCCCTGGGGTGAGGGGCAACAGCTCATTGCCCCACCAACACCTGCCAGCATCCACGCATCACCCACCACCACTGAAACACATAGCTTGTTTCATCTCGACTCTCTTACAGCCCGCTTAGCTGCTCCGTCTGGACATTATTGGGTCTTCCGCCCTCTCGGTGCATATACTTCCATGCCGGCGATGCAGATCCAACAGAGAGGTGCATCTTCGCCTGCATGTCTGGCGAACAACGGCCCGCGATGTCCGGATTGCCGGTAAAAGCTGGTGAACATTGTGGCCTTGTTCCTTCACCTGTACATCCGAATATAGCCTGAAGACATCTAAGTTCTCACCTGGCGACAAGAGAAGACGGCTCAGTCCCAGCCTGTACCTAGTTTCAGGTGAACTTGGAGTGCCCAAGGTTTTTTTGAGGCTCATTCCGGTCGATCATGAGATGGATATACGATACTCCGCTTGGCTCATTGGCAGCGGCGTCAAACTGTATCGACTTTATGACAATTATGCGGGATTCTCCTGTCGTTCGTGTCGATACCGTGACAACAAGTCAGCGTATCCTTGTGACGTCTGAGCCCAACGTTCATTTGATTGACTTGATCAAATCAACGATAAAACACTGCCTTCTGTTACCTATGGCCAGTAGAGGTTCAGGGTAGCTCAATAGTCATCATTCACGGGACCGCCATTATTGATGTGCAGTCAAAAGAACAAGAGCTCCCCAGTTTTTGAGCTGCTGAATCCAAGCTATTTCTGTGATCGCAAAAACAATCGTCGACGGGCATTCAGCTCTACAAGGTTGGCGTCGGCCCGAGTAGCGTGCCATGGCTGCTGGGCCTAATTGGTGCGTCCAGCGGCATCCCCCACTTCAACACCACAGCTAAGCCACCGCTAACGACCCGTAGAGCCTAGACACAGCTGAAAACGCGTGGCTGACGGATCGCCCGCTGTTGTGCTATATGAGATGATGCCCCGCTTCCCTAGCTCGAAATGTTGCATATCTCTGATCCCCCCGGCATAGACCCGCTAAGGTTTAGACACATCTAGTGCGAACGATATACTTGAACGACTATTTGGAAGAGAAGGACAGAGTTCAACATGCCATCCAAAGGGGTCAGATGTTTCACCTACATCGCAGTGGATCGAGTGGAGGTTGAATACACGGTACCAAAGGGGAACGTCAAAAGAGGCGACCAACACCAATTCCTCCACGATCATCTCGAAGTAGAATCATCCAACTTACCCCATTTCAAGTTCACCGGAAACTTTGAGTTCATCGTTCGCCAGGATGGCCGCGAGCTCACAAAACAATGGGTCGCAATCAACAGCATGACAGGCAAATTGGAAGACGGATCAATGGTCAACATGGAACAAACACCCAGCATCTTCGCCAACGACCTCATCATCTCCTACGGGTTCTACGACGCCGGTCCAGGTCTAGCCGAGCTACCAAAACAACACCAATGCTACGTGACCGTCACAAAGAACTACGAGAACTGGATGCGCGACGTTATCCCCCAAGGATCCGACAAATCCAACCGCCCCTTCCACAAAATGGTCCTCCCCTCCGCCCACGACATCGGCATGAACAACATGTCGAGCAGTCTCTCACTCCTCAAAAACGCCGGCACAGGCATCATCAAAGAAGTCTTGGGCCGCAGTCTCCCCCACGCCCTCACCATCATCAACAAAGTCGGCGACGGCGCCATAAACCGGATCGCACCAGACATCATCCGCGCACTAGCCATAACGCAAAAAGATACCCTCGACACCATCCTCAAGATCGGTGCAAGGTACTTTGAGTTCCGCCCAGCGAAATGCCACCGCCAGATGCAGAAAGTCAGTCCCTTGGATGATACTTGGTATTTCCAACACGGCGCCATACCAGGAATGCCGTATCGCGTGTTACTAGACCACATCACGCGTTTCCTGGTCGATCACAAAGACGAGATTATCGTTGTGCATAACCGGTGGGATGGCGTTCCAGGCGACTGTCCCCGCCCCAACGACGATGAACTACGAGATGCGCTCAACGATATCCTGCGGGATAAAGACCTAAAAGCGGGGACCCAGGAGGATATGATGCACAAATCTATCCGCGACCTGCGTACATCGAATACCCGGCTCATCATCCTAAAAGACTGCGGTCAGGTTTCCAACTATGACGATGCTGCAAATGCTACTTTGACTGGTGACTCCATGGTCGAGAAACTTCACTCCATGTGTGGGGACCCGCCTAGAGGTCACCCGATCACATTGCTGCAATGTCAAGCTACGGCAACGAATATCAGGGATGTGATTATTGCTAGTGTGCTCGATTCGGATGTCAGTACCAGTCCGATACTAGCGACGAAACCGGTGTGTGATCATAAGATTCTGCCGTTGTTGAAGGGAGATGTGGGGAGGAAGTTGATGGGTGAGGAGGGGGTTGTTGTGATACTTAATGATTTCTTCGATGGGGCGACGGCGGATGTGGCGGTGGGGTTGTGTAGGGAGAGGTTGGGGTAGGTGGTGTGTAAAAGACAGGCAACAAGTAAGAGATCATAGAAGAGCGAGTTCTGTATATTCATTATATATCATTAGGACTGAGGTTACAAGACGCCATCTATCCCAGGTTCCATCTGCACACTACACATCTACCCTCTAAGCACCCCCATGCTCCCCAGGCGTGAAATCCGTCGTCCCCAAATCCCTATTCCCCTGCACCACGAAGTCATGATCCTTCGTCAGCGAATCTAAAAACTGATCATCAACATTCAAATGATCCTTAACAATCTGCCTCGGCGTAATCCCCAGCCACTGATTAACACTAATATCACTATACTGACTACTCTGCAACACCTCCAAATAAACCAACGTCTCGTTCCCCGTATTCTCAAGATAATGCGCATTAGGCACAGGCACATACCCGACATCACCAGCCGTAAAGTCGAATGTGCGGGATGCGGCGGGTGCTTCGTAGACGGTGAGGCGGGCTGAGCCGGCGATGAAGTAGGACCATTCGTCTGAGGTGGTGTGCCAGTGCAGTTCGCGCATGGCGCCGGGTTCGACGGTGATGAGAGCCGCAGAGAAGGTGGATGCGATGGGGAAGGTGGAGGGGTCGAGGATCTTGATGGTGCCGCCGGGGACGCGGGCGGGGGCTTGTTGGCTCCAGTGGTAGGAGTATGCGCCTTCTTTTGGTATCACGCCAGCCGGGCCCGTTACATTTTGTTCTGAGATGATCTTCGGCGCGGGTGTACCGGGGAAGATCCACAACTGTTCCTGAGGCATGTTTTGCACTGTTTTTACGGAAGTGCGGAAGTTCTTAGCTACGACGGACTCTGGGTTCCGTAGCATGAGTTCGGAGAGGAGGAATGTGTTTTCTTCGCTGAAGGAGCCGTCGTTGAAGATGAGCAGGAATTCGCAGCCGTTTTCGAAGGCTTGGATGGAGTGCGGGATGCCGGGTGGGAAGAACCAGACGTCGCCTTCTTGGACGTCGTCGACGAAGGTTTGGCCAGCTTCGTTCATGGAGGCGATGCGGACGCTGCCGTTTAGCCTGAGGTTGTTTGGTTAGCTTTGTTGGGGGACTGGGATAGAGGAGGGATGTACATGTATGCCCATTCTCCTTGCTTGTGCCAGTGGAGCTCGCGGTAGGCATGGGGACTTAGTCGCATGTTTGTTCCTGCCATGGCGACGGAAGATGGTAGTTGATCGGTGTTTTGGGATCGCGCCCATCCTGCGCCTGCGAGGCCGTGCCGGTTGTGGCTGAGACCAAATGGCCACTTTGCGTTGCTTACTTCGCCCATATCGGAGCCGGGTGGGGCGTAAATATCGCTATTCAGACGATCATACGCTGGAGTACTGCAGTGAGGTGTCAGCCAAGGTAAAGACTTTGGACATGTCCCTGAACTTACCGTGGACCAGGTTCAGTTGGTCCTGTATGACCTCCGCGGATGGGTTGGGGGTTCTTCACATCCGTGAGATTGATATACAACCCCAAATCCTCGTCTTGTGACTGCCCAGGTGCGAGCTCGAAGTCTTCAGGTGGGATGACTGTAGACTTCATGTCAACTGGATTAGAGGGGTTGTACCCTTGTAAGTCATCGGAACCGCGCAACGAGCCCGATGCCGAAGAAGGTAGTGGCATGTTCAGGACTTGCGAGGGATCGACGGGGCCTGGCACTGATGAGCCGCCAGAGACTCCTGACGCCTGAGGTGCTGGTGCTGGTAGGCCATTGGCAAGACCTGCGAGGGAGTAGAGGAACGCGGCGGATGAGGAATAGAGCATTTTGGAAAGTGATTGCTCGTTGCAGTGCCAACTCACCGTGCAACTGCAGAATAGATGGACGGCTTACCCTCCTTTTTATACACAACTGGGCGACAGTAAAGTCGTACCACCCCAATGCCTTCACCACTGACTCCACCAGGCATACGTCACCTGAAGCGACATCATGACTATTGAGAATAGTAAAGTGACGGGTACTCAGCCCTGGCTTGCATGCGGCGATGAACGGTAACGTGCATGGGATGTTCGATCAAGCTTGCCCATCTTGGCTATATTGTGTTGTCTATAGCTGGGGTTGTGGCTTTTCCGGGGGATGCTCACCAACTGCCGCCGGCCTAGTGGTTCAAGGTCGACTGAAGATTGGCTGCGGAGCATGAGGCTGACCACGAGTTCACGACAGGGGTCTGATTTGCTCGGATCTTGAATTATCCCCATTTTGTTGATCGTGACGATGGTGACCTCGCCATGCTCTCAGTCTTGCATCATTGGTTTTTGGTCGGAGACGAACTCGGTACCTAGGCATTGCGGTTATGAAAACTTCAATGATATGCTCTCTGCTTTTTGAAGTCCAAAGCTTGGGTAATGGTGACTTTGCAGCCACCGTCGAGCTTCTGAGTTGACTGCGTTAGCTTGCTCACAGTTCATCCCGGGTAGTCTGATCTGCTATTCCCGAAGCGCTTCCATGCCCACCGCGCGTCCCTGATGTAGTGCCGGAACGAGCCGGGACCAGAATCTATCGCGGGAGGCAACAAGGACCTGTCGTGCTGTGATAAGACCTCAATATCGACCAACTGTGCAGCTGAGAATGGAGGCAGGTGCGGCAGGGGGACTTGACACTGCATTCCACAACACAGCGCGGCTGCGCATATGTAATAGACTTCATCACAGAGAAGGTGCGAAAGTAGGCGAGTGATAAATAGATACCGATACTCACACCCGTACTGAGTGGAGATGAGATGGCGTGTCAAGCTTTGCGGAGAAGGCTTGGTTGTGCTAAGCAGCTGGAGCAGAATCACGCTACGTCATCACACGGCTCATTTCGGCTAGCGCGACACTCAGCTCTCCTCCCAAACCTCAGTTGCGACAACTCTATCTTCACTCCGGTCCGCATGCAAATGCACTCACAACAGCAAAACAAGAAAACAAGGAATGCCACAACTCTTACAGCAAACTAAACTTTCGTATTGCATTGCCCAGCATGCCCGAGCCTTCGCGATGGCCAGCCAAACGCGTCTCGATCGCGTCGTCCATCACACAGTCACACCTCCAATCTCCTCCATCTTACCGGGCGCTTATATGCATATCCGATATCGCATACGTCTCGCGATGCTGGATTTTCCCCGAAGCAGAGATTAGCCCGCCTCCGAACATCCAGCTCTAAGTCCTGCCCCTCACGAGCTCAGCGCCGACAGCGCGAACACGCCAACACTTCTACCTTCGTCCAGGCCTCCCACAGTCTTCCTCAAATACGCCTTGTATATCGAAAGTGCACTGACTTGGGCCGGTGCTAGCGAATACTCTTGATTCCCTCCGAGGGCGATGCATGGAGTCAGCCTTGCTGACGGGGCAGATGGAGTAAATCCATCAACCGGTTCTCGGCATCATTCCTCGGTCGGGTCAGAGCTATACCATCGCGAACAGTGATCTGCTGTTCGTGACGTTGGTCACGGCTCACCTCGGGATTCGATGAGCCTACCCAGACGCGTCCCAGGATGGGGACAGGACCGGGTGCATTTTGTTGTATCAAGTTACAGAGCATTTCTGGATCTTGATCGGTTATACCACTCTCAACTGCCGGATAGTCAGAGAGAATGCCAGGCGGAACTTGGATGCTGGATTTGACAGCACCTCCCAAGGCCTTCTTCTTCACGAATGCCCTGAGAAATTCTGGAGAAGGTGCATTGCCCTTCTTCTTCTTTTCCAGGAAAGCCTTGAGGAACTTGGGAGATGGTGCATTAGCTACCGCATCAGCCGGATTGATTTCCTCATCATCGCGAACTGTCAGGATATGTTCCATAAGTCCGCCTGACGTGCGAGCTTTAGAGTTCAATACAGAAGCGCTGTGGTTAACAATCGGAGGAGCCGCAGGAATCCTACCGGATGCATAATTGAATCCAGCATTTAGGCCAACGGGAGCAGTTATGCTATCTAGCTGAACACCCGAATCGCTGCGTTTCCGCTCTAGCGCAGCCAGAGTATGAACACGGCGCCCAGCAAGAAGTGGGCGTGCAAACTCTTCTGGCTCTTCGTGTGCTTCACAGCCTGGTTCGCGGCTGTCTTGATATTCCACGAGCGCATCGTAAGGCTCGCGGCATTCCTCGTCGAAGTCGTCGTGTTGGATGTTGTTGGTAACCGAAAGACGCCACAGCCGAATCCAGCACTCCGACTTTGCCGCCCAATCTACCGGGCTGTCATGGAGTTCGTCATAGAATCGATATTCTTCGGGAACCTTCTCTGGACTAGCCCGCGATGCTGGGTATTCCGGCGAATTTTTGTTCAGAATGGCATCGTCTTCCTCGGTCAAGAAGTATGCAGCTCGATTTGGGCGTCGCCGTGCGCGAATGTGCTTCATATGGTACCGCACAATAGCTTCAATATCGCGGATGCCCATCTTCTGCTCCCACCATAGCGTCTTCGCCTTCATGTACTCTGCGTTGTCGCCAAAGTCGTCCTCGGGGTTAAGCAGCCCCTGTTGGCGTAGCGCGTCGGTGTCACACTCCTCTTCATGGTATAAGTCTTTCCAGAGTCCAACAATCATGTCTTCTTCGAGGCCTTTACGATCTCCAAGGATACTGCCGGGCTCATACTCGTGGGAATCGGTTGCGACTAGTTGATCATAGCGTTCCGGTTCAGCGCGTAGCTTCTCCAGTCTATCCAGGGTACCTTGAACGAATCCATCGTTCTCGCCGGGGAAATCGTGAAGGTACTCCCACTTTGCTTTTGGTACATCGTCTAGTCGTAGTCCTCCTTCAAAACAAGGCCGATCGCTTTCAGGGATTGGCGTAGCCCGTTGGATCTGCTCATCGTCTTCCTGGTACTCGGCGAGCGCGCGAGCTGCTTCGATACCCTTTTGGCAGGAGGAATATACCATTGGGTCTTCTGGCAGATCTTTGCGCACTTTCATCGTCTCGTAGATGATCTTGCGCTGAGTACCGGAGCGAACTAGTCCGACCACGACACGTTCTTCTCCAAGAGGCAACGGGATTTCGTCAAAGTCTGCGTTCCACACCGCTGGGAACTGCCGAGGATGTTCAAAGCAACCAATGTTCAGACGAGGCTCTTCTTCATCCACAACAGATTCGAATTTCCATGCGAGAAGATGCAAGTGTGGCTTGTGTTTGCGTACATCGCATGCTAGGTCCAAGAAGTGCTGTTTAACCTCGTCGCTGACTTTGTCACCCTGGAAAGCTAGATGGCCCGTCTGGTGTTTCGTATACGCATCATGGAACGTTGCCATGATCATTTGGCTACCATCGGGCGCCTCGGCACCGAAGTAAGCGAGGGTGTATGCCATGATAGCGAGCTCATCGCACTCAACGCCCATTTCTTCGAGAATCCCGTGGGTATACTTGTAGTCCTCATACTCGCCCTCGTAGTCGAAATCGGAGCTCAGACAGGACGAAGTCATGTGGTTCAGCAAGCCAAAGCCATCGTCGTCTGCTTTTGGATGAGTGACCAACTCTTCGACTCCGCGGAATTTAGGACCGAGTGACTTGATGTAAACAGGATTCTCGCAGTCTTCGTCTTTGTCGTCTTCAGTCATGTCGGCATGGACCTTGCAAGACGCAGAGGTATGTGACACGCTTCCGATGTGTGAAGATGTTGAGAGCGAATCCTCAAAAGATGATGGTGCTGTGACCACTATAGTGGGTGGAAAAAGCTTGTTGAGTGACTGCATGGTTTGACTGTAGTGATTTAGCATTTGATCTGTATTGAACGCATCAGATGAAACTAACCCGGGAATGCCTGACAGCCTAGCGATCTGCACAATGGTATCTTCCTTTGTTGTAGCCGGTGTGAAGGTAGACAGGCCGCTGGAGACCTCGTGGGTGCGCTTCGTCTGGGCCAGTGCTTGCGGCAATGGTATAAGGGGGTGGTTGAGGCTGATGCCGGTGGAGCAGATAGCCCACCTGCACGGCTAAGGCCTTCTTTGTATAAACGTAGTAAGTTCCAGGCGAGTATGGTTAGTGCTATGAGTCGATGTGGGTTGAACTGATTGGTGTGGGGTAGTGGAGGTACGGTAGACTCTGCAGAGCGAGCGTGGACATATATACCGAGCAAGAACTCGGTCGCAAAGGCGCAACCAGGAGCCACGCTAAGGCTAGCTCAGAGAGCAGCACAGACTACGGTGAATGAACGAATCGGGGCATCCAAACGGATACGGCTGCTGGCGGAGATCTGACATTGTCGTGCAGTGAAAGTAGGCGTCCGGATAACTTAAACATTGTAGCGAGGTGAATGAATCTGTTCACATTGGTGAAACATTATTTGGCATATAAATAAGAAGAGTGGTGAGTACGATTGTAGCAGCTGCAAACCAGGCAGAAAGCGTAAGACTCGCGATTGTGAGTTAGGTAGCTAGGACGCAGTGAAGATTTGTATTAATTTGAGTCATGTATTGGAGCGTAGTAGCCAAAGGGCTGAAGAGGGAGGAGTCTGGTTGCGAGAGAGAAGTATATGAATAAACTGAAATAACACTGATGATTTCTAAGTCGGAGATACGCATTATATGGCTAACATAAACAAACAAAGACGGCGTTCATAGAACACCAAACCGGGTATCAAACGCTAAGCAAATCAACAAGAAGGAGTACATTCGAGGCTGTCCGCGATCTCGATAGAAACAGTGAATAAAGAAAGAAAAGGATGAGAACAGTACAAACTCGCTCTCAATAGGTACAGCAAGTTTGCAAGGCTCATTGCCAATTCACACGCTGCATCGTAGCCTCAAAGTCTGAGTTGATGGGGTAGTTGGGATACTGCTGCCGAACTACTGATTTAAAGTCAGTCAAAGATCTAATGACACGAACAAGGAAGGGCATACCGAGTGGATAAGGAGCGGCGCGCGCGGCACCAGCAATCAAGGCTTTTGCCCGCCTAGACTGCACATTCTGTGCCAAGTCGTGGGCCTGGTGTTGCTCTTGAGCAAAGTCTACAGCCGGATGATATGCGGCATCGACCTGCCCCCACATGCCGTGCGGCGCAGCCAGGGCATAGCAATGCTCTAGACATTCCTGGCATCGAGTAACAATGTGGCCGTGCGGAAAGCAGTGTGTACAGCCAGTCTGACTCGCGTTCATCATTCTGCTCGCCATCGTCTGAGGCGTAAACTCAAACTGATGCAAGCGACCGTGCTCACACCGAGGGGGGAGCAGACAGTAGGGAATCTCTGAGAAACCGATGGTAGTCTGGAAGCCAGAAGGGTAAACCGAGGATGTAATTCCTGGAGCAGGAAGTAAACCACCAGGACGGCTGATGCGCTCGTTGATGTCCTCGGCTGATGTGTCGACGAGAACAAAGATATTCTTGGTGATCGTTTTATGCAGCTCGCAGTCCTGGACTATCTCCTGGGAACGAGGTGGTGTCGCATGCTCGGGATAATCCGGGAACTGAACCAGGTCAGCCATGGCATCGTGGAGTTCGCTACCGTCGAGGACTTCGATCAGGAAGCACGATTCGAAACCTTTCATTTCCTTGTAGTTGTGCTCCTTTTCGTCGCGGTAGCTACCGAGCGTTGACATGGCAACCTGTCCGCATGGACATTCGTGGAAAGCATTTGGATCAAGTAGGTCGCCTTGGTCAATGTCTTCCATCCAGTCGGGAATCCGCTCGTAGCTTTCGAGCAAAGCGTGCTCTGGCTTGCCCTTTGTGGCTTCACGAATGAATGAGGGTTTGAAGTCGATGCTCCAGTTGCGGAAGTTGTAGTCCGAGATACCTTCATTGATCTCCATCTCTTCATATTCCGTGAGATACGGTCTGCATGGGTGATCTAGTCCCACATAATGGCGTACATCAAAGTGGCATGCAGGGGTGGATTTCCTCCGGTTCCCCTCGATGATGCGTTTGACGTCCTGCAATGTCTTGATGGGCGAACCGGGCGCGACGATAGTACCAGGACAGATGAGAAGCCATTGCGCCTCGAGCTCCTGGAGGAGGGCATTCTCGCCATTCTGTAATCGCGTCTTGATGAGTGTGTCTAAAGACTGGGCTCCAATCGCTGCTTTCAGATCTTCCGGAAGCTGCAGCTCCAAAGCGCGTAGAAGGAATTCGATGTCAAGTGCGTCTGCATTGATAGGTCGTCCAAACCATCCGTCCACATCCTCGTATGTCTGAACATCACCACCAATAAAGATAGGCTCGAGATTGTTGGCCATGCGTTGGTCGTAAAGTCGACCACCCGGGGCCCACTGATCAGTGTCGTTGAAGACAAGGTTGCCATGCTGACGCTGAAGTGCTGCTATGTGGTCACTACTGGAGCAAGTAGCTTCGACAGCGTCTTCGTCTCCGACGATTTCGCACTGGGATTCGGTGGTGTGAGACATCCCCGTAGATCCCTGAACACTTGGTGCAATGCCGGCAGCGAAAGAAAGATTCTCTTCGCTCTCAAGAGATGACATCCAGCGGTCGCTGCTCATAGACATGTCTTGAAAGCTGGCTAACCACCGCGGTATTTTGGTCTGTTCATGAGCGGTCTGTCGGTCGAGGATCGTTGCCTCAATTAAGGGAACGATGTCTCCAGTAGTACAAACATCGCAAGACGCGTCGTCTTCCACGATCGGCGACGACTGAGCTGACTGCTGTTGCTGCTCAAGTATCTGGAACCCACCGAACACCAACCATACCAGGCCGGCAAAGGGAACAAGAGTGAAGATGCTCTCAGCGGCAGATCGTACTATCCATAGTACAATGAACGCGCAGACCACGAAGATAGCGAACATCTCAACAAGCGATGGTTGGCCAGTAGCGTTGGCGGTGGTCGAGCTGTCATCGACCTCGGCCAGCTGCTGAAGCCCCTGAGGGCCCTTGGTGGTGGAGTGTTCGGTTTGGAACTCCAGCCCGGATAACTCAGGCTGCAAGGTATGGGGGCCGCGCAACTGGAAATCGTTGAATGCTCGCACTTGGGACGAATCGGGAGCAGCGAATGAGCGGCGCGACATAGTCGGCGGACGTGTGCTTGGGGCGGCGGACGTGTACGTAGTTGCGGACCAGTACGTCATGGAGGTTTGGATATCCTGGCCTGCATGTCCTGCACGCTCACTGGGAAGAGTCAGGGGATATATCGTGTAGTTAGAGAAGACAATCACTGACCTTTGATGAGCAGATGATGCGCGATCATCGCTTGTGATCATAGCATCGGGCGCCATAGCGACAGCTGGTACCTCTTCGGCGCGGACGCAGGCTTCGCATACCATACAGACAGCCTGTACGTCGATAGTGGAAATGGAATCGGCGCGCTTGTTGGCTGTGCAAAGCTGCAATTACTGGTGGAGTAATTGCGAGCTTGCGAGAAGTGGTGGTAGCACATCGTTCGGAGGCTGGAAGAACCCCTGGGTTAAGTAGAGGGTAGTGTCAGCTGGGGCGCTTACTACACTAGCTCCACACTAGTCGTACTTGCGAGTGAATGCACGTGAATGGGCTTGTGTGACCATCAGGTCCGGGCTTGGCGGAGTTTCTTATGCTTGCGGCTCCTCTCCTCAATGAAGTAAGGTATATATCGCGAAGATTTTGGGAAGCTGTAACGTAGACAGTATAGGTAGATGCTGACCCCAGAGTGGTACTGCGCAGCGATATATGTACATCAACGCGCCCAGCGAGGTGCTTGAAGCTTGTACGACTCACAATCAACGATATTCGCGAAAGACCTAGCATCTGGGCGAAATGGAAATCAGCGAAAGAGCCCAAAAGCTTCCAATAGATCAGTATGATTCTCTTCCCGAAAGCACTGGCTTAGTTCGGACGGTTGGTCATCCAGGAAGATGGGATTGGATGAGCACAAGGCGTCGCAGGAAGAACGGCCTGCATAGGGGATAGGTCATGGCTCTCACGGAGACGGCGTGAACACAGACCTCTAGTCACGATTGAAGGTAGAAAGAAACGGGATAGTTGGGCGGGAGAGCATCTTTTTGGCTAGGACCGAGGTTCCGGTGGGTAGCGATTAAGGATGAGAAGGTGACGCTCCGCGCACAATCGTGAGGACAGTCGAATAATTACAAAGATATAAGAATGAGGGCATTACAAGAGTCGAATTACTCTCTATTAATAGTAGGTAGGTCATGGGGTATCGTAACTGAGTGAGGTAAAAGTGTGTGGACTGAACAAAAGAAAAGTCTCGGATCTACCTCGACACACGCGCATTTTCGTCTACCAGCATCTCGGTGCTGTTCTCCCTTTGCGTTTCCTTGCGGGATATATCGTCCGCCCAGGTGGCCTGAGAAGCGGGCGTTCTCCAACCGCTCAGCCTCCTGCCATCGGCACCATCCACTTCTACGTGGATGTCCGTAACGACTTGGATGTCTCGTGCATCCTCGCTCGAGCCATTTGAGCGCTTTGTTACGTCTAGAACGTAGTCGTCCTTTGTGCGCAGCGCCTTGCTGCCACCCCTGCTTCCGTAGGTACGATTACCTTGCGGGCGAGAGTGGGAATATGCGCTGCGGTGTCTTGACGGGAACGCCCTTGGAAGCCAATGTGTGATCAAAGGCCTGAGCAACGGTAGGCAGGCGCAAATAATGCCGACGTTAGTCTCGACGGAGCTCCAAGTCGCTGCAGGCGGGTTGTCGTAACTAGGATCATCCGAGTTGGAGATCGCGACGAGAGATTGTAGACGGAGGATTGAGACTAGGCAGACACTGCAGGATCGCGCGTTAGTGTGACTTCTTTGCAACAGTTGGTCGTAGGGGTATGCCTGCTGAGTAACTCGTCACGAAAAGAGCCGGTGATACAATGATGCACCGTGCGAAAATCGAGTGAGCGTCGTGTTACACCTTGTAACAGACATCAGGCACTCACGGAACGGCCCGAATAGACAGAACAAGGTAATACCAGGGAGGAATACTCACAATCCACCAACAGCGAAGATGGAGATGAGTCCAATCTTCTGCCTCTTGCCCAGGTTTAGCTTCTGAATGACCGGGATAGGAAGAAGGATGATCGCGAAATCGGTAAGGATGTTGATAGCGGCGTTCGTGAACCAGACGGCGAATTGGTTAAGGCAAGTAGACTTTTCGTGAGTCCAGAAAGCTCGTACAGGTGTGCAGGTGAAGATACTGGAGAAGACTGTCCAGATGGTATAGGCGACGACAACGGCCATTGTGAGCCAGTTCGCGATCTGGAACTTCTTGGTCGGGAAGATGCGTCGATACTGGAGGAGCATGGATCCTTTGGTCAAACCGAGCGATAGATAGTATACGATGAGACTGGACCAGAATGTCTGTGGCTGTTAGCATAGCCCTGGAGTACACAAGGAGAGTGTCGCACCCTTAAAAACTTGACCATATGATCGTCTGAAATTGTGTTGATGTGTCTACCCATACCATATTCGGCCTCTGCATCATGTCAGTGTCTAGAAGATAATGTAGTTAGGTGTATACTAACGGATACCAATGGCGATTGTGAGGCCAATGGAGCAGAGCTGGCAGAAGGTTAGCAGGAGCATACACAACATGACGGAGTAATAAACTTACCATCGCGAGAGCGATGCCGGCATCTTCGATACCAACGCAGCGAATTATGAAGAAGCGCGTATACAGTCGAAGGGCGACGGTAATGAGAGCCAGGCCAGTGAAGACAGAAGATATCTCGACCGCTTGCCTGCCCCTCGGGTTATCAGATAATGATCCAGCCATGATGTGATAGCGTAGGTCTCAAGACGACCAGATAAGGTGAATCAGGCTGCTTTTGTGGGAAACATGGAGTATTTCACAGCCTGCTTAGATCCCTGAACGAGATGGGTGGTATGGGCATTGTCGGTGGCTTTACCTTAACCACACTTATGCACGTACCCACCTTCCGTACGCCCACCGAACAGTGACATTCGCCAATTACTCCGCGGGTGCCAGGGTCTGCAGCCCTGTCAGGAAACCTTCGGCATGGCCACGAGTCGAAAACGCGAGAGCAACGAAGTGTGTGAGATCGGTCTCAACACGTCCCGTGCGACGTTCCGGTTTTCCCGGGATCTACAGAACGCAGAGAACCCAGTCCCTGCAGAATGGTGAGCTGTTCGGCTGTCACGCAAAGTTGGAGAAGTAGCTCCAACTTCAATCGGCACGCATGTGCAAAAGTTGTGTATGGTTCGACCTTGAGCAGTTCGTGTTCATTCGTTTTGTGATGGCGGCTATGGTGTCACCAACCATGTTCGACGGATGCAGTGTTTCAGCCCGATGCATAGGGCTCCTTCGGCCGCCAGCATCCTGGGAAGTGAGATCGTGATATTACACACGGGCTAAGGAGTCGTGGATGCGATTCCATCTCGAGCGTCGTACAGAGCCAGAGCGGTAAAGGATGCCACTGAGGACTCGGGAAGATCAGTCGAAAAAGCGGAGTGTACACACATGCAGGAACGTGGCACGGCTTGCGTGATGTCGTACAGGAGACGGTAAACTCTCATTCGCGGATTTTGTAAGCGAGGACTAAAAACTCTGTGTGGGCAAAACCATGATCATCCTTCGCGTTTGCAGGCTGCAGCTAAAGACGCACGGGGCGGACGTAGAGACGGACTTGCGCACGCAATGCGCTTTTTCAATTTCTACCTCGCCAAAGTACGAAGCCTCAGAAATTGGCGGCACGAACATCATCGCGAGCCGCCTGGAGAGGAGCTTTCATGTGCTGAGTTTGAATTGGTTGAGGCCCGGGCCGGAAGCCTAGTGTCAACCCCATGAACATGACAGGTCGCTATATCCTCCGTCGCAGTCAGCAAGACGGTTCTGCCACTTAACGTGCGTGGTTCCTACTCCGTAGACTTGATGGTCGCACAGCTGCGTTGCTAGAAAGCGAGCAGAAGCAGTATGGCCCTGACAATCTGCAGATCAGTCATCAGCAACGCATGCAGCTGCTCAAGACCGTTAGAAGTCGCCGAGGCAAGTCGAATACAGGTGGAGACACCAGAAATTGGACAAGATCAACTTCCACTAACTATTTGGTGAGCAGAATAACTGTGGCTCCAGGAGAGGTGCGGGTAGCTTTTAGACCGGATCTTAGCTGTACGCGAGCCGCGATGACCCGGCGGCGGCCTTTTCTCGCTGAGACCTGCTGTGGAGATTACCAACGGGTCGTAGCTGACTATGCGCACGGAATGAGCTCTCCATCTGTCTGTGGCTTCCTCACATAGATGAAGCTCCATATAGGCTGTACAGCGGTGCCGTTGACACATTGTTGTTTCTGAGATTCTCCTTGCTTTTCTTTCCCCGCGGAACCAGGGTTGAGTCGGTCCTTCTGCCCGGTAAAGATCTGAGCCTGAGGATGCGTCCGACAATGAGGGCCTTAGCCTGGGCGCGCGCTGTGACATGAGGATCGTCGACAGCGTAGTGTTACAAAAGAGCATGGTGTCGTGGGAACAGAGCGGACCCCTTCTCCACAAGTCACGATTCGAAGGCGTCCCCAGCGGCTGGGCACCACGCGACGCCAAGGCGCTAGTACCATTCGGCATCGCCCGGGTGTTCGACAACTCTCAACTTGTCTATCTTCATGTCAATCACCTGGAAAGAGGACTCGTGCGCAGCCCTACACACCGTTCAGGCGAGCGACATCATAAGTGTTATCTGACCGCCAATCATAAGTGGGTGCAGACCACGCGAGAAGAGCTGCACATGTGCCGAGTTGGGAGTGGCCCGCGCGTAAGCACCAGGTTGTCTGCTCGCCCATTGGAGCTTCCCCTTTCCTACCAGACATCATCAATGGCGGTTGAAACTGTTTGCATATCGCTAAGACTCCGATACCCGCTACGTTTCTGTCCAAGTAACAGGAAGGTGCCGTTTTGCAGCTGATACCCAACGCTCCAGCTTGGCGCTTACTGTGACGAATTCGTCCAACTTACGTACAACGACATGCAACCGTTATTGCTTTTTTGCAGCGAAGGGGTGCCATTATGTCAGTACGTTGCGCGGCCCCTCTTTTTGCGCTTGCTTCCGCGCTTGTTGTGGAGGGCGTACTCTGGCAGCCGAGCTACGCTGTTCGCTGCCGCTGTTCCAGAAAAGCGAGGCGACGCCGCACCCGCGGACCCTTCGTTGGCTCACAGTGGCGCAATGCTGTACGCCGCTGATTGTAAGTTCATTGGGTGTTTGCTTTTCAGAGCGATGTCCTGTTAGCCTCCGAGGACCGAGAGCTACCGAGTACCATTGAACACGTACCGTGCTTCATGTTCTCGCTCGGCGCTATTGTGACTCCAACGAGGCCAGCTCAACGGAGCAAATTTCGGAGTCTCAGCACCCGATCCCAAGAGAGGAATTGGGAATAGTCAAAACGGGTCAGCATCGTGGAGTTGACCCAAATCGTAGGTTTTGGGTCAGCCTGTTCGGTAGATCAACGGTAGATCTATCGAAAAACTTAACCTTTACCGTGGTGTCTTTACGGCACCCATAATAACTACTCCAGGAGTCCAGGAAATTCCCGCACATTGTCGTCAGACTCATTTCTTCGATCCCCCAACGGCTGCTTGCTTACGACGACACCCCTCTTATCGCAGCACTGCCACTTCCCGCGATGTAAGCAGTGTTCAGGTACCGCCGCATCTACAGGTAACCCCTCTTCACAGGTGCATTACGTACCTTTGCTTGGAGGCGGATTACCATCGTCGGCCAGGGTAGCCCTGTAAGTAACATTGAAACTGTACCACTGGAGTATGAGTATCACCAGCTGGGAGGGACCAAAGCCATGTGCTAGAGAGTACAATCAATGCGCATAGTGAAGATTGTGAGCAATAGCCGCGAGATTTCGCCGTTGGAGATGATTGTGGGATGGAAGTATGTTACCGACAGACTAATGATTGCAGTAATGCGCTACCAATGCTAGGACGGGAGTGCACAATGACGGTCTATCCTTGCTTTCGAAGACACTACTACTCGGCGGCAACGTCGCAATGCGACATAGGCTCTCGACTTCCAATTCCTACAGCCTTACCCCAGCCTTCCAGTTATGCGATGAACGGCTTTCACATGGTTCTACCGTGTCTCCACATTCACATCCATGTCCTCTGGAATCGCCTCGACGAGTATCACGGCCGAATTCACGAGTACGCCGTTGTGCGAAGCCTTCGACTGATCCGAGACATCAGTAAAGGGGTCTCTTACTTTCGGTAGTGCAAGCTTATAGTCCTGCCCCTCCCCAGAGGAGGTGGGGCCTTGCGGCCATGCGGTGTCTTCGATACCCGATACGAGCGCTGGGGTCACGCAGAGACAGACACGATACCGGGCGGCCTCAGATACCGCGGTCATTTGCTTAGGGTCAACGCTGTTCCCGGGCGTACACACTCGATCCGATGGTGATCTTGCAAATCGAGAAGCTCCAGCTTTGATCGCATGAGTTCGCACGGCCAGGCGTCGGGCTTGAATTTGACCCGCACTTCATTCAAAAAGAGCTGTCTCGCGAATTCTTCGTGGAAGACAGTGAATTGTTTTTCTCGCTAAGGCAAGGACTTGAAAGCCTTTAAGATGGCTATTCTCGATTTTTTTGATAGTCGCTGGCGTGTCTAGGGGTTTCATTGTGTGAAGGTCTCCTTGGCTATGGTTAGTCTCATCATCTCGAATTGAGCGATGTATTTGGAAACTTGCAGTAATTGGTACGTTGTCAATTTGTACTTGCTCTAGGTTGTCTAGCTTGCCTCAAGTACGGACATTCACTTCTCTTTCAACTGTGCTTTGGCGGTTTCGGCTGAGCACGAGCAACATCATTGTGAAGTGCATGGAGTGAACAAAACCGTACGAATGACTGGACGCCCTTTGTTGACTATCGGGGCTGTGTTCACAACCATTGCTCTACATGTCGCTTATAGACATTGTGAACGCATACTGATACCAGCACTTTGTACACAATGTCTTGTGTAGGGCCATGGTCATTGAGACAACCTTCGCTGAAGAGAAATGCATGTCTCACTACAGTTGTCTTGCATGTGCACCGAACCTTCGCATTTCCACGCGGCTCTTGTAGTCTCCTTTCATGATATCATCACTGTTCCGAAAGCTTTTGAATGAATGCTCACTAGATGCAAGCAGGAAGGGAATAGGTAACAGGTAAGGTCGGTTGCGCATGTAATTCACCAGCCGCAAAGTTCGCCTTCTCGGCCTGTGCTTACGACCGTTGCTTCGTCTCAAAGAATGTAAAGTCCGACCAACACCAGGTGTAAAGCCTTCGCAGCATCAGCTCAACCATGTTCCATCGACTAGACCATCTGCCACCCCAACGGGGCCTAGATAGCTCCTTCTCTAGCTACACGACACTCGATGGCCTGCCTCACCGATCCTACGCCCTCTACCTCCTGCGACGATGTGCCTACATCATCGGGCCTATCATGCGTCGGCATGGCTGGACTGTCCCAATGCTGCATGAGCTCTCGCCGCACTCTTCCTGCCATGGCAAGTCCCTGACTCAAAAGCAATACGACATAGATCGTTATGGGAACACCACAACCGAGATCATCCCGTTGAACATACAGTTACGTTTACGTGACGCTCA